CATCGGAATAGCTCGATAATAATTTATGAATCGCACAACGCTGCTCGGTGGAAAGGGCCGAATTTTCCCCACATAATTCGGCGATCCAACGATCATCAACCCCTCCATCGTGTGAAACACCACCCACAAGCCCCCCGTCCGGCAGGTCACTCTGAGCCGTAAACGCCGTAGTGGCATGTGCCACAACAGTACCAGCCGGCACACACACTAACACCTGCAAAAACGGGCGCTGATCTGGACGGACAATAGTTTGCGCCCCTACCAGCTCTAAGCCGCCCGTAACCGCGGCGGACGGCGACAGCAAAATCCCAAAAGCACCCTGCCGACCCGGAACCGGCTTCCGGTATCGTAAGGGAATGAGCATCTGAGAGCCAGGTGGAATATCAACCGAAACTTCCGATAGCGCCTGCACCTGGGCGACAGGAGCCGGTCGCCCCCAGGCGGACTGTAAAAATTCCAATTTCCGGCCCCCCGGTAGTTCTATGCAATTTTCATTAATTCTAATTAGAATGGGCATCTTAGCCAAAAAATCCATACCCAACAGGCAAGGAACCGCCAGGGACCTCGAAATCAACACAACGCCCGAGGCCAAGACACCCCCGATAGAAATGTTAGCGTCCACCTGTCCCACGATGCCCATACTACCCCCGTTCGCAGCGATGCAGGAAGCGTAAGCCGGCCTCACGGCCCCCGGTGGGATGTTCAAAAGATGGAATATCACATCCGAAATAATGGTCGCGGACGCACCGGAATCCACCAAAATACGTACGTCCACCCCTTGGATGGACCCAGGTACAGTGGACGAACCGGTAGCGGCCGCGACAACCCGCCGAGCCAGCTTACGCCACTGCGTTATCGAGCGACAAGGCTCAGATACTGGCCTCCCGTATTTTACAACATCCGCGTCGCACAACAACGGCGATGAGTGAGGTGTCAGGCCTTGCCGGGTGTCTGGTGCGCACCGACTTGCCTGTGCCGGAGGGTCTTTCTTTGGGGCGTCCGCTGTCGAGGCCTCCTGCTGGGGCGGCCCCGGAACCCGGGCCCAGCAGTCCCTGGCATAGTGGCCCCGACGGCCGCAGCGGAAGCAGTCGACGTCGGGGCGGCGCGCAGCGGGCACCCCGTCCCGACGCGGCCGCGCCGGCGGCGGAGCCCGCGGCCCTGGCCCGCTTCGAGCCGGCCACGGAGTGGAGGCGGCCGACAACTCCTTTGGGCCGGTCGCATCCGGCACGTACACGGCCTTTGTAGGGTCCCACCCTACGGCCCCCCCATCGACGACAGGACCGCCCGTCCACGCCGTGACTTGTTTCCAGCGGCGGAGATTGAACTGGGCGTCCAAACACTTGGCCGCGGCCCGGGATGTGAGTTTTTCGTGACCGCACGCCGGCATAGGAATGCCCAGATCCCGGGATAACTCCAACATCTTCCCCAAGATGAGAGGTTCCAGCAGGTCAGGCTCCGTCTCCGGGTAAGCGGCCATAGCGAGTTCCAACACGGCGCCCCTGTACGCTACAGGCGACTCCTCCGGTGCGCGTTGCCGCTGCACGAAGCGGCGATGGGCGTCATCCGGTGGCTCGTACGCGTCCGCCATTTCATCGAACACCCCACGCAGAGTTTTCTTCTTCGCAGCTTTTATAGAGCGAAAAAAACGAACGGACTCATCATCAAGAAGAGTCGGAAGCACCTCCAGTGCCTCAGCGTCCGTCCACCTTGCCGTACGTACCGCCGCCAAAAATCTACAGGCGAACGCACTCCAATCGCCCCCGATGGAGAACTCTTTGACGGTTGTAAGGTGACGACTGCGGCCCCTTGGCCTGCTTCCGTCCGTCGCTGACTCTTCCGGCGGTAAGTTCAGCAAGGCGTCGCAACGCGGTGTCGCCAAGATGGCGGACGATCCTCGCGGCGGCCCCAAAATGGCGGCTTCCCGCCTTCCGTGGTGCGCCACGCCCAAGATGGCGTCTTCACGCCGCGTGGCCGATGGCGGCGCCATCGAAGACAATCCGGGCTCCTGCCGATCACCACCGTCCCCCTCCAACGCCGCCCTTGGCGTGACAAGGTCACACAACTCAGTGATGACGGTTTTAAGAGTCGCCAGCTGCTCCGCCATTCGGGTCCATCTTAAATCTTCGTCCTTCAACGCAGACGGGGCGGACGCAGCGGCAACCTCCTCGACACCCGGGCCCTCATGGATCTCTCCCTCCGCCGAAGTGAAGCCGACCTCAGGAGGAAGATCGTCGTCGTCCGATGATGAAGCCGACGCCGGAGATGGGATATTCTTTTTCCTCAGTTGTTTCGCCATGCCGTTTCACTTCTGACTCCAGTGTAATAAATGGACTCGGACACTTCCTTCTGTCTTCGTGTCTTTTATTGGGTTCTCGTCTTCACCCACACGGCACTCTGTTATAACTCTGTATTTGTAGCCCCCGGCTATTCACTGCTATTATAGCTTCTCCTTCCCTCTGACTCTCTGCTTCATCTACTGTAACCTCCTCCCTGCAGACTCGCTGCTACCCCTATGTGCAGACCCTCTGGCTGCCACCGTATGCAGACCCGCTGCCCACTCTCTCTGTGCAGCCCCGCTGCTGACTGCAGCCTCCTCGCTGCCTCGGGTCGGTCACCGCTGGCCAACGGTGCCGACCCTCGCTGCCTCCGTGTTCGTGGCGATCTCGCCACACTCCGCTTCGCCCTTCGTGGCCTCTCTCTGTTCCTGGTTCCCCGTCACTCCCTATCCTCTTCCGGTTCCCCTCCTTCTATAGCTCAACCCCTCTCCCCCCACGTGACCTAACTCCTCCCCTCATGACGGCACCTCCGGAGGGCCGTTTACGCCCGCATTACACATAGGACAGTCTGTCATAATTGGTGTGCCTTATTTACCTAGGCAAGTCCAAGTTGAAGGTGCCTGCGGGTAGTAAGGTGAGTAGGGATGTTAATTGCATGGACCTGCCAGAGTCTCTGATATAACAAGGCAGCTTCAAATGTTTTTATACATACAATAAGTTATTTTTAGTTGTTGTAAAACATGTTGGAAACATCAAACAAGGTTGAAAATGTATAGGCTTATAAATAATACCTTCTTGAAAAACATGTTCCACTCATCACCAGGGTTATTGACATGTATTTTTAAAAATATTAATGTGTGCCTAAAGAAGACGTTTTTCAATCAGTGCACGCTGCCAGCGCTGACACATGTTTCAGAAACATGGACACTGACAAAACAAATGTAACAAGAGACGTACAAAAGTACCGTATGGAAAAAAGCGTGAAAAGCAAAACATGTGCATGAAGGAACAAACACAAATGACAGATATCATATTGACTGTCAATAAAAGTGAGTGGGCTTGATCAGGACACATCATGGCTCGAATAATCGCCAATGAGCGAGACTGTTACAGAACATAAGCCAAAGACGGGAACATGATTTAGCCACCACCACAACAATTGGCACCGCTAAAGTCGTGTAACAGCTGGTGGGACGGACGAGTGGAGCAGTGTCTGGCGCTGCGCTCCATTGACTCTTTGAATCAGAATCTGAATATTAATTTCGACTGAAGGAATCCGATGAGTCACAAAGCTCTTTTTCACAGATGCCCGCAGTAATCACGGCACGTACATAAAATGTTATCGTACAGTAACATACTCCACGTATCATGAGGCCTCCTTTGCCAATAGCAAAATATAATAATAGGGTTTTTACCCTTTTTTCTGGCAACAAAACACACGAAAAAAGGGTGTCAGTTTTGTTGCCAGAAAAAAGGGTTAAAACCCTATTATTATATTACTCCCCGTACATTAAAACAAATCGCAGCACCCCACACGGGATCTTCTGGAAGATGAGAAGAGAGCTGAAGGAGGAGCCCCCCCCCCCCTTCCTGCTGTGACAATCAAACACGAGCCACGTGACCACCCCCCTTCCTTCGGTGACAATCAAACACGAGCACGTGGGGTCCCCCCCCCTTCCTTCTTTGACAATCAAAACGAACACGTGGACCCCCCTTCCTTCTGTGACAATCAAACACGAGCACGTGACCCCCCCCTCCTCCTGTGACAATCAAACACGAGCACGTGACCCCCCCCCCTTCCTTCTGTGACAATCAAACACGAGCACGTGCCCCCCCCCCCTCCTCCTGTGACAATCAAACACGAGCACGTGACCCCCCCTTCCTTCTGTGACAATCAAACACGAGCACGTGACCCCCCTTCCTTCTGTGACAATCAAACACGAGCACGTGACCCCCCCCCCTCCTTCTGTGACAATCAAACACGAGCACGTGCCTCCCCCTCCTCCTGTGACAATCAAACACGAGCACGTGGGCCCCCACCCCCCTTCCTTCTGTGACAATCAAACACGAGCACGTGACCCCCCCACCTTCTGTGACAATCAAACACGAGCACGTGGGGTCCCCCCCTCCTTCTGTGACAATCAAACACGAGCACGTGGGGTCCCCCCCTCCTTCTGTGACAATCAAACACGAGCACGTGACCCCCCCCCCCTCCTCCTGTGACAATCAAAAACGAGCACGTGCCCCCCCCCCCCTTCCATCAAACACGAGCACGTGGGGTCCCTCCTCCTTCTGTGACAATCAAACACGAGCACGTGGGCCCCCCCTCCTTCTGTGACAATAAAACGAACACGTGACCCCCCCTCCTTCTGTGACAATCAAACACGAGCACGTGCCCCCCCCCCTCCTTCTGTGACAATCAAAAACGAGCACGTGGTGCCCCCCCTCCTTCTGTGACAATCAAAAACGAGCACGTGGACCCCCCCCCCACCCCTTCCTTCTGTGACAATAAAAAACGAGCATGTGCCCCCCCCCCCCCTTCCATCAAACACGAGCACGTGGGGTCCCCCCCTCCTTCTGTGACAATCAAACACGAACACGTGACCCCCCCCCCCCTCCTTTTGTGACAATCAAAACGAACACGTAGTGCCCCCCCCCCTCCTCCTGTGACAATCAAAAACGAACACGTGGTGCCCCCCCCCCCCCCCCATCGTTAGTCGATGAGTCCCGTTGCCTTGACGACCAGGCGCCTGTGTTGTTGCGTTGCCTAGCGACGATTGTTAAAGCGCCACGCCATGGTGAGTGCAACGCTGCCCGGCGCTCGCGTTATTTTGTACATTTTTGCTAAAGAGAGGGCTAAAGGTGAACACTGTACATAAAATAAAAACCCAGCAACAATTTGACGAATTGTTTATATTGTAAAAAGCAAAAAAAATCACACACAACCCGCCTCCACGACAAAAAAGCTCTCTTATGCGATAACCTGACTCAATTCGAGACACGTTTTAGATGTTGACAATGTAAATGGTGTTTGCTGCTGGGCGCTTGACACGTGTCTGGGGCCTTCAGGCCTGTGCTCAGAAACTTCGCTTGTTGTTGTTGTTGTGTGCAATGATCGTGATTGCTCACACATCGAGCACACTTGTGGTTTAACGCGTGCGTTTGTGAGGGTGCTCTTAGCGGTGGCCTAGCAGTGGTAGGAGGCAGTGACCCAGCCATTAATCTGTTTCGGGCCGATAAAATATGGTACCATTTTGTTGGAAGTCAGCTGTAGTTGCGCCGTGGATTTATTTGCACCTCCGTCAGAATGTGGAGTTGCCACACCGCCGGCTCAGGGCTGAGTGGGGATTAACACTCTCCTGTCAGTGGATAAGTTCGGTAACCAGAGTGGTGAAGTATGGTCAAATAAACCCTCACGACCCCTCAGCCAGCAGTGGATCTTCGAAGGGACTAAAATTAACCCGTCTGGACCTCCGCTAAGTCGACTCCGCCAAAAGTGAGTACAGTACAGTGCAGTGCCCGATTAAGCTAGTGCGGGGCCTGTAGCATATGTTATTAAGGGGCCCTAAATAAAAAAAACATATTAAAACACATTTTTTTTACTTGCATAGTAAAGTAATTGTATGTTTTCATTTGCTTTACAGCCAGATCATACGACAAATCGCAAAACTTAAACCACCCGGTCGTTCATAAAAGTTAAAGGCGGTATAGTACTATAGTAATAGAGCAAGTGCAGAATCACTGAATCGGAATTGACAGCTTGAAAACATTTAGCGTGGGGCCCTTGAAAGTGCGGGGTCCACAGCATGTGTACTAGCTACTTGTGCTACTGGGATATAATCCGGCACTGATACAGCTCTGAGCAGTGGGGTCAGAGTGGGTTTATGAACTGGGGATGGTGACAAAGATCGTCTTTGGCTGTGTGTGCGGTGACATGGGGAGCGGTAGTGTAGTAATTGTGTAAATATCGCCGCTGGGGAGACAAAGGCGGCCGTGTGTGGTGCTGCCCCCCCCCACCACCCCCCTCGTGTGCCGTGGCGTCCCTTTATAGGTGCTCGCTAACAGCACTTGCCCCAACAGTCTATGAAGGCTACACGGGGGATCTTTGTCTTTGGGGACGTGGCCCCACTTAATGCTTAAGTAACTATTGCTGTGGCAGCCGTACGGACCTTAAGAGGTGCTCGCAAACTATTTACAGGTTTTTGGTTCTATGTGGGCAGTAAGAAAAAGTGGAGGCTTACCTTTGTTTGGGGGACACTCACATCCAAACACTGTGAAACTTCGCGAGTGTGGGTGAGATATAATACAAAATAGTTTAATTTAATTTTATACATTTTATTTTATATATTTTTTTATATTTTTTTAAATATATATTTGATAAATAGTTTCATTGTATGTGTATATTTTTAAGCGGTTTGATTACATATTCTTGGTTCTTTCGGTAAAGTCACGCAGAAGGGAAATAATAAAAGAATAAAAATATAAAACAATAAAATTCTCACGACGTTTCGACTGCAACACAAGCAATCATCATCACGTGTGAAATCCACAGCAAGAATTTTTTGAAAAAAGTGGCGTTTTTTGGTTTGATTACCTTTGTTATACTTTGCACTCCTTTAGTTTTTTATTGTTCCGTGTGGTAACCGTCTGACTCGCCCCTACTGGACATCTGTAAAAAAAAATGCTTTATAGCTAATCGGATTCCTCCAGTATAAATAAATATTCTGCTTCTGAGAGCACACCTTGGAGGTAAGGGAAAATGTCACCTGTTGCAAATGCTATAGGATCCGGCAGAAGGAATCGATTTTTTTAATACCCTATCTGTTGATCAGTTGTATATAGTTCATGCTCATAATAAAGGTTTTAGGGTGAGATCGCGTTAGTCTAAATGTGTCGTATCCCTCCACAACACCCGACACAGCCTGAAACTAATTGCCGCGTTTTGTTTACTGTGTCGGGTGGTGGAGGGTTACAACACGTTTATACTTACTGCGATCTAACCAAAAAAAACCCCTCTATTATAGACGCAATCAAGTTCACACTTTGCTGTTGTGCATTCTGCTGGCAAGCCAGGGATATGACACGTGGATGATCACTGCAAGGGAGTGTCGCGCGCGACATTTGAGCAGTTTGTCCGATCCTGCAAGCCTCGCCACATCCACAGTGCTGGGTGATGGGCGTGCATACCCACCAACGCCGGGCGATTGCAAATATTTATTGATACTGGACGAATCTGATGAACTATAAAGCTCTTCTTTTCACAGATTTCCAGTAGGGGCGGGTCAGAACGTGACAACAACAAATGATGCAAAAACACCATTTGGAACCTCCTTTGCCAGTAGCAAAATATGATGATTGTGTTTTTACCCTTTTATCTGGCAACAAAACTGACACCTTTTTTTACAAGGAGTCATGAGTGCGCCTTTTGGCGTCATCTGGTCCAACACCGTGTGAGACTAGGCTCTAAGAAAAACTGTCTCGGGTGTGGACCAATCAATTTCAAGGACAGTGCATACATTATCAGAGTTGTGTGTTTTTGTTTGCATTCCGACTGCAGGTATTGTGGTCTATGCAAACATGACTCCTTGTAAAAAAGGTGTCAGTTTTGTTGCCAGATAAAAGGGTAAAAAACCGATCATACAAAAACACTACAGGAGTACACAGTATAGGAAAATGTAAACACATCACTTAAAATATATGTATACAACTAAACTTTTTTTACACCATTGGAACCTCATTTGCCAGTAAAAAATATGATAATTGGCTTTTTTACCCTTCTATCTGGCAACAAAACTGACACCTTTTTTTTACAAGGAGTCATGTTTGCATAGACCACAATACCTGCAAACATGACTCCTTGTAAAAAAAAAGGTGTCAGTTTTGTTGCCAGATAGAAGGGTAAAAAACCAATTATCATAAACTTTTTTTTAATCTTACCAAGCCCACTGAGACATTCACTTATTTTTCAGAAGCGAACCGAGGGTGAGGATGGCATCAAAGACATTTTTGACCTTGAATCTGTTTGCATCCCTCCCCTCACCACCTCATCCATCCCGAGAAGTTACCTTTGAATGGGGGGCACACGGGGTGAGGTGGGGGGCAGTAGGGCGACTAGCAACGCAATCCAGAAACGCACGGGAGGGGCACGACACGGTCAATGTTAAACAGACCCTAAGCAAATGTTAAACGCTGAGTAAAAGGAGTAAATATGGGACCTGCTTTTGTCTATCATGCATTCTGCTGGAGATTTCAATGCACTACGTTTAGATTTTTGTCCAACCCCCAACAATCGTGCACATGTGATGTAAATGATTCAGGGTGAATTCCCACCACTGGTGTTAAATATTGCACCAACTTCGATTATAAAGCTTTCGTGACTGCAGGGATTCATCTTCTTGGTTCTTTCGGTAAAGTCACGTAGAATCTTCGTGACTTTACCGAAAGAACCAAGAAGATTGCACCAACTGTTTATTGTTTACTCGACTATAAGAATGTATACAGGTGGTGGGCCCAACCACGACTGTTCACTAGGAGCGGGGGGGGGGGGCATGTGACCCCCAGACTCTGAAACACTCTTCACTTCAATGTGTGCCTAAACAAACGGATGGTTTTGTGTTTTTGTGTTTATTTACAGGCGAAGGCAACCTCGATAAAAGAAGCAATAGCGAAATGGGTACGCATTAACACACACCGAATGATTTCTTTTTTTTTTTAATATGTGAATTATTAGGAATGTATTGCTTCGAAAGTCTGTTAAACCTATACGGGGAATCTTTGTATTTATTCCCCCTCCCCGCCCTCTTCGCTTTTCAACTTTTATATTATTTGTCACGATTCGATCAAATAATTATCGATTCGGGGTTATTTTTGCATTGTGGTGAATGTCGGGCCCCAGAGTGATTACAAATTTCACATCAACCAATTCCAACATTATCAGCAAATTATAATCAATTCGAAGAGCATCTGCGTTTATAATGCATGTATTGTCAGTTACGCAAGAACTAATTAAGCAAATGAACCACGTGCGTGCTTACATCACATAACCATCATGCAGTTCATGACGCCAGAAAACGCTTATAAGGCACATGTTTCGTGAGTATTAGCTATCTTTTTTTTTACTCTTTAAGAGTTGTTGTGACTGTTAATAATTGTTATTTCACAATAAGTTAAATATTTAAGAAATTTAAACAAGCAACGATAATCACGATATGATGATATTTTGAAAACGGATTTTACGAAAATTGTGGATCTTATAACGTACGATATATCATTGTTTTCTTGTCATGTTTAGTTTTAATCAATTAATCGATGCATCATTACATACTGAGTAATTGTGCAGCAATTTGCCAGGAGTTATGGCCCAATTGATTGGACATCAAAGGCACCAATCCCGCATCCTCAGCATCGTCCGCATTGACTTTTGTCGTCCATAACATTAACAGTGATGTCTGGATGTTTATAGGGTACAGTACTTAAATTCCTCAGCCTGTGTTCCCCTCCCCTCTTCCAATGAAGTGATGTTTGTGGTTACCGTTTAATTAAGGACACCCAGGACCTTGAAATAGGAATGTGGAGTCCGCACCAGTAATATTGGAATTGTAAAAGAGAAGAACACTGTGTAATTCCAATAAAAGCAGATATGTTATTTGACATTCTGGATAAGTTGCAAACACGACGTTAATGTATACATAAACACAGTAATGGGTTTCCGAGCCCCTAAATGACAATTCATTAATTCGTTTTAAAAAATCACTTGCCAGCCCCTGAAAACAACAAAGGTTTGATTAAAGTATTGGTGGACCACTTGTCCTATAATTCTCTTGTGTTTGGGAATAAAAACACGAAATAGTTGACGTTTTGTAACATGACTAAAATCATACATTCTGTCTGGCATTCATTTCATCATCTTAGTTCTTTACGTCTTAGTTCTCTAATACGGACAAATGTCTTGTATATGCAGCCATGCCAGAGGCAGGCACCTTTGTGAACAGTAGAGAGATGACCCCTTTTAAGAAGAGTTGAAACTTGTTTTTTCGGGAGGCTTTAAGACTCATTGCATGGGTATAGAGTATAGACAAACGACGTTATGACTGTGACTTTAAATATATATAATCGTGCAACACGAATGATGAATGTACTTCACAAAAACAAAACCTTCATTTCATTGTAAATATGAGAGACGCGCAAATTGCGGAGGGTATGTATCGACAGATACTAAATCATTTTAGATTTCTACACGTGTATATATAATATACGGGGAGGTGCGGTGGTTAATGCACTGCGCTATGAATCTGGGGACAATGGGCATACACCCTTGATTTTAAATAAATTACTGATGTATATCTTTGAACCTTGTAAACCAATGTTCGTCTACGTTTGTTCAAAAAGGAAAACTCCAGAGTCGTCTAAATGGCCAGCAGACTGGTGAACCAAATATTATATTCAATAAAATGTGTACATTATGGAAACAAAACCTTTGTTTATTTATAATTTAATGAGCTACAATCCATCACGACAGTGCATAACACATTTTGTGAAGACTTTAGTGTACAGTAATTGAATTTGTGAACAGTTAATGTGCTAATTTGTCCTGGGTGTGAAGTTAAATGGCATCTTGTGACGTTTCATCTAAAAAAAACACCGCTGAGGACAGAAATGGGAAACCACCCTCTAAATAATATTTCCACTTCTGGCTCAAGAACACTCGAATACTCCAGTCGTGGCATAGCCTTCAAGACAGCAGAAGTGCAACTGCACAGTGGCCACAGGCCAGAGGGGCCCAGGTGCCGTGCTGTAAAGAGGTGGGTGGGGAAGAGGAATTAGACAGGGGGCCCCATTTCATCCCCTGCGCCAGGACCCATGCCGGCCACACTACGTCACCAGAATGTGCAGAGTGCTGTTGCCAGGTGAAGAGGGAGGGTGCCGAGATTGGATGTGATGGAGAGAACGCGAGCCATGCACCTGCACTTGTGCAGATTAATGTGAAATCGAAAGAGAGATGTGCGAATGTACGAGGTGTGCCTATACAATCAGGACATGGAAAATATTTTCGCCGCCAGCACACCGCATTCGGTCTACCTGCGACTTACGAGCCACGTGCCAGCTATCCGCAAAATATTGAGTGATGAATTGAGCCGTGCATACGATCGTAATTTTTTTTTACTCTCTCTTTCTGTGTCTCCAGGAGGAGAAGGCAGGCGAGAAGGCGGGTGAGGCGAAGATCGTGAAGCTGTACGCGCAATACCCACCCATCGAGAAGATGGACGCATCCCTGTCGCTGCTCGCCAACTGCGAGTGCGTGTCGTGTCCGCCCCCCGTTCCCGCTCGTCGTTTGCGCCTCTAATTGCGCTGCTCTCGAAGCCGAGACCCTCGCCCAGATCCCAGCTCCCTCGGGGGGACGGGATGACAGCTCCGGTAGACGTTAGAGTGGCGTCGTGCAAAGCGTGCGTGTGGCAACGTACGTGCATGTTTATATTATCACCATCAATTATTGTTGGTACAGTTGTACTGCTGCTCCTGTTGCTTCTGTTTATTTGAAGTTACAGTCATGGCGCAATATAGGGCAGCATAAATAGACATGATACTGGAGGACCAGATGCCATGCTCTAAACCCAGCAGTATAGAATCGAGGTCTTACTTCAAACCTGTCTATATCTGATTTAGATGCACTGTTAAACCCAGTGCATCTAAATCAATGGAGTTATGTTTAATAAGGAATTCACTTCCATATTATGTTTAATATGGAATTCACTTCCATATTAAACATAATTCTGTGAAATAATATTCCATGTTAAAGCTACATTGATGTAAATAGCGTGCAGCCCTTTATCAATCCACTGCTATAAAACGGCCTCCCCATGATGTGGTGGTGTTTGGGGATGATGTGACCATACTTCACCATGCCAGTCAGTACAGGTTCGTGAATGTGGGGGCCCAGAACTCGTTCAGATATCACTCACGACTAATTCGGGTCACCAGGTTAATTATGCAATGTGCTAACCACTGCACTGGGTTACCTATTTAAAGATAAACCTAGGTTTGTAGAAGCAGGTACCATGTTACACTTAAATACATGGAATTTGACTTCATGTTAAAGCTCACCCTGTGAAATCTGATTACTTGGATACAATCCTACCACTATGAAAAATGTCATGTTATACACATAGGCCCAGATTCCCATTGTGACGACTGTTTGCCTTTGTCAGATGTTTTGTGTAAAAATTTGACAATGTCCCTGATTGGGAACAATTGTGGTGAATCGGCAAAACGATTTAAATCCAACATTTTCTCAAGATGAGATTGAGAGCTGTGAACGTCTGAACTCGGTGAGAGCCCTTTAAGTGACTAAGGTATTTTTTTGCAAAGAAAAACCTGGGGTGCAAAACAATGCCATCATTGTCAGCCATAGTCAAATCACTGCATGGCAGAAGCCCTGGTCATCTCTCACGATCCTTCAATGTAATTATCTAGCATCTGCACATGAGCTGATTTCATCACTCCATCTCTCCTTGGAGAAGGTGCTCTCAGAAGTGTTCCATTTTATGTGTCACTCCATCATTGTACAGTAGAAAATAAAATCTCGGGAAAAAATAATATGTTCATGAAGACAAACAAAGATGTGACCAAGAGAACATTTTAATTATCCTAACACATGCATTTGTAATCATACACATTCCATGCATTCTAGATTTGAAGCTTTCGTGACTGCAATGATTAATATTCTTAGGTTGTTTCGGTAAAGTCACATAGGTAAAAACATTAAAAAGTAAAATAAAATAAAAATCACGACGTTTCGGAGGCAACACAAGCTGAAGACGGAAGCTTGTGTTGCCTCCGAAACGTCGTGATTTTTATTTTATTTTACTTTTTAATGTTTTTACCTACGTGACTTTACCGAAAAAACCTAAGAATACATTCCATGCACTGAAATTATGTTTTACATGCAGTTAGATTGCATGGAGGTAGATTTTAAAAATGTGGTTCGACTTGAAAGGGTCTGCGTGCCCTGGTTGCTTGCCATTTATTTGCCTTGGGTATTTTTGGAGTTGTGTTTTTTTTCACGGTGGTACGTGGACGTGTGTTTGTGCGAGCATGGGGCGGTGTGTGGGCGTGTGTTTGTGCGCTTGTGTACGTGTTTGCACGCATGTGGATGTTTGTGCACGCATGGAAGCACACGTGGCCATATCTGCTCAGCCTTTGTCGGCGAGCACTGTAATTGATGAATTTGTATCAAGGTTTCGAGGTTAGAGAGTTCCTTTTTAATCTTGGCAAAAACAACTCATTCGACTCATCCTTGTTTTCGTGCAATATCCCTGTTTTTTTTTCTCTCTCCTCTGTCACACAGGAAGCTGTCCTTGTCCACAAATTGCATCGAGAAGATTGCCAATCTCAATGGACTCAGTAAGAGACCGATTTTTGTTCTGCTGATTTACCAAGAGCTGTGTGCTCGCAACGAGATTTCAGATTGCTTTTGGGATTGAACTCGTTGTAAAGCAGTCTGGTTTTTAGTCTGGCCTTTAAATGTCTCTTTTTAGCAAAACGCGTCTTTTTTTGTTTTTATTTTTAAGTGTATTATTTTGAACACTGATTTGTGAGCTGGGTGCCTGTTTTTGTCTTGAATGCGTTGTTGGGACTCATTTGCGCGATTAGTGTTTTAACAGAGCGTGAATCGTGCTGTGTGGTGTGCACTTCGGGCATTGTGACACACCTTGGTGTGTGTGGGCCTTGAAATATGAGGCGCCGTGTAATGGTGGCCTCTCTTATTTTTGTTTTTTATCGCCACTGCAGAATTCATCAAGATTTTGTCACTTGGACGTAACAACATCAAAAACCTCAGTGGTCTGGTGAGTCATCACGACTGACACAACACTTCCTGGTTAGAACCAAAACACGTGAAATGGTGTGGCATTATATAAAACGTATATAAAATGTTTAATGTATAATCCACTTCTGGATGAAGGCCTCCCCATACCTTGCAGATTGTGGGGGTCATTTTAACGATACAGTATTCCCTCGTTATTCCGAATATTTTTTATTTATGCTGGAAGAATCCGATGATCTATGAAGATCTTTTCACAGATGAGGATACGTTTCGGAGATGCTCTTGAATAGAAAATTTCGCGGATAATTTTATTGGCCTATTTAAATAAATACGTAAATAAGCTATTAAATATATGTAAATGATCATAACAGGAAAATTACAAAAATGAACTTCACCTCATCACATTCTCTCTCATCACTTTCTTTCTTTCTCTCGCTCTCTCTGGATGCAGTCGTGTAGCGTTCCAGATGCGATTTGCGGATAGCCAAGATCGCGGATAGCAAGTTCGTGATTAACGAGGCAATACTGTACTTCACCATGCTGGTCAGTGCAGATTAGTGAAAGTGGGGAGCATAGACATAGAAGAAACAAAGCACAGTACAACAGTAGATTTTGCTGAACTGCCTCTTTGCTGCCTCACATATGCCTATGACAACCTAGCATGGATTGTGGTCACCCATCCAAGCACATTCCATGCCCAAACTGCTTAGCTTCTGAGATCTGACGAGATTGGGCACAATCCAGGTGATTTGGTCATAAGCTGTGAACTTATATCCAAATATATATTTCCAGTTTATTATAATATTGATAAGTACTAATAAGGGTCATTTATAGGGAAAAGTCTCATCGAGTATCAAGTATCCCTTTTCAGAAGGATCCTATTTCACGATGTTGGGAAACGCTCCTGTCCGAGTATGTTTTGCACGCATAAAAAAACGGGAGTGCCCGTAGACAACCATGTTCATGAGGAGATCACATGGAAAATTCCATGCAGATAAATCAGCAACCCACTTTCTGGACTCCCACCTATGGCTAACTGCCCCATTGCCCTACTGATGCATGAGTGTCTCTTGCACATCGCAATTCCATCTCTGTGTGATTCACCAACCCAACTTCCAAGGCTTTGCATTGCAGACATGTATCTTTGCTGCTTCACTTTTCTCTGACCGAGTGTGTGTGCGTGTGTACATGTGTTTGTGATCACACACACGTCTGGGGAGCGGTTTGTAGCGGTTAGCGCACTGCACTACAAACTCGGTGAACCGAGTTTAATTTCCACTCACGGCCCACATCAGTGACGATTATTTGAGCCGGTACTGAGCCTCTCCTAGATAAACTTAGCCTCAAATGAGTACCTGGTGTGGTGTGTAAACATCACCATTAGGGAGACAAATAGTGTCGAGCGTGGTGTTGGCCACCCACCCCCTCGTGTACCATCCCGGCCTTCATAGGTGCTCGCGAACAGCACTTGCTCCAGTCTGTTAAGGCTATATGGGGGATCTTTGTCTTTGTGATGTCGGGAGCGGTGTCGCAGTTGTTAGCCCACCATATTGAAATCCCAGCAACAGGAGTTTGATTCCTGACCATGCCTAACGACAGTTGCAAAAGTGAGTTCTGAACCAGTTCCGAGCCTCTGCTAGGTGGACAGCCTGAAATGAGGACCTGATTCAGTGTATATGTATACATCAGTGTATATATATGTATACATCAGCACCGAGGAGACATAGGTGGCTGGGCATATAGCTGGCTACACCATCCTCTTGCCAGGTGCTCACTAATAACACTTACTCCAAGTCTATTAACCCTTTCCCATTCCGATGATGTACACATATGCTATTATAGAGTGCGGTCGTGTCCCTACGGTTCTCTGCGGTGAGTGCAATGTCTTTTACAACAACAGTACTATGCCTCTCTAAATAATATTAATGCTAACCACTTGCGCGTTTCGTGATTCAGCGATGAATGGGACCCACCGACCCTGCAACTTAGAGATGTCTCGGAATGGGGTTAACGACCACATGGGGGATCTTTGTATTTGTGGTGGCAGGAGGCTGTGGGTGATACTCTGGAGGAGCTGTGGATCTCCTACAACAACATCGAAAAGCTGAAGGGCATCCACGTGCTGAAGAAGCTGCGTGTGCTCTACATGTCCAACAACCTTGTCAAGGAGTGGAGTGAGTAGTGGGGTGACTTTGGGAGGATGGAGAGCGAGTGGGTGGGTGAGCGAAAAGTGAGTGGTGGGGTGAGTGAAGAGTGAATGAGAGGTGAGTGGTATGCAAAGCCATCCCAGGTGATTGGGAACCTTGGTACAGGCCTGGATAAAATTACATTGTGATCACCTGGATTCAATAAACCACAAAACTCTCAAAGTGAGTTTATAGGTACAACATTTATTTCATTAAGAAAACTGTGAAAACATAAATTCAAAGCACTGCACAGGAAGAACCCAAATTAACACTTTAATTTATTCAGTCTCATAAATTATTATCACCTTATCCCAATACACAATTAGCATATCTGTTCACGTGAACGCACTGTGAATGCCTGTCACTGTTAAGTGGTTCGCATGTTTTAATGGGTAATGTCAGCTCAGTGCAGAGTCCTGCATTAGTTTGGGTTCCCACGGGTACCCGCAGTATGCTCTGACCTCTGAGCTACCCGGCCACCTCAATGCGACATGTGTTTTCCAAGTTGGGCCTTCCGGCTTAGGCTGCATGTTGAGCATTTCTTCTCATTTCTTCTTTCAAACCTCCGGCGACCCACTTCAACTCCTGGAGATGCTTGCAGGAGTTAAGCGGGAGAAAGCTTGAGAGAAGAAACACTCAATATGCAGTATAACCCAGAAGACCGCGGTTGAAATACGAGTGGCTGTGAAAACCTAGGTGTGACATCGCCGTGTTGTTTTACTGGGTGGTGTCGGTGTGGCCTAGGCGAGTTTGTGCGGCTGGCCGACCTGCCTGCGCTGGCCGACCTGGTGTTTGTGGGCAACCCCCTGGAGGATAAACACTCGGGCGAGGGGAACTGGATGGAGGAGGCAACTCGGCGCCTGCCTCGGCTCAAAAAACTCGACGGTGAGGAACTTGGTCCATCATCCCTCAAGGGGTTTGTAAAATATGTACCGCTTTGTGAAAAGTCAGCGGCGATCGTTCAGCAGCTAGACTGGCCCTCGCTGGTGGAATGTGGAATTTCCAGCGCAGCTTCAGGGCCACAAACCGAGATGGTTGCTACACCATGGCTCAGCTCACCCACCCCCAATAAAATGCGTCCCGGGTTTCTCAGCCCCCAGCAGATGACCTCAATTTATACAAAGTGGCTCAAGCACCTGGCTCAAAGGGGGGAATTGGACAGGGGGCCACATTTAATTCCTTGCACCAGGGCCCATGCCAACCATTGCAGTAGGACCACGGCTCAAACCCGTGGTCCTACTGCACCACACAGGGTCTGTCTCATCCCACGCATCATTCACCAACTACATCCCTCATGTTCACTTTCCCCAAGCACCACCGCCATCACGGAGCACTTCCCCGCCCCTCTCACGCATGCAATGCCACATCTCACATCCTCGTAGGTGGATTTGACAAAATATAAACGTACATTGTGAAACCCCCCCTTATCAATCCATTCCTGGACGAGGGCCTCCTCACACTGCTTGGGTGGTGAAGGTTATTTGACCATGCTATGGTAAAGGGTAGACGTGGAAGCATCTGTGTGCAGAATGGATTTTACTGTGCTGCCCTCTACTGCCCACCACGTAGTCCTGCAGCCCTATAAATACCTGTGTGCATGGTCACCCGTCCAAGCACTATCCAAGCTCATTTTACGTAGCTTGCGTGATCTGACAAGATTTGGGTCATTTAGGGTGATGGGCGTCCATCAGCCAACGTCAAATCATCATGATGTCATTGTAACCATCGCGGTGTCCTCGACCCCCCCCCCCCCCCATGAAGGCTCTCCAGTCATCAGGCAAGACGAGGAGGAGGCCGAGCCAGGAGAGTTGAAGAGAGTGACGTGCAGAGGAGGACGGACTCGTCTAATGGCTTCCATGTCCCGTCACAGGCAGTGGCATGTCAGTCCTTTTGTCCTCCATCCCATTAGAAACTGTTACACGTTTGCCAATATTCACCGACACACCAAGTTCCTGATGGACAATTAAAAAAACTAAATCCTGGATTTGTGTACAGATATGAGGAATGGAGCCAAGAGATCTAACGTTATTTTCTGTTAAATAAAAAAATATATACAATTGCATGTGATCATTTGTAAGTTATTCCCTTTCATTCGTTCGGAGAAGAAATCAATACGGCATTAACACTGAGATGCCTGTGGTGTCAAGTTTAGTAGTCAGCAACAATGGACTCGCAATCAAGAGCTCGCCAGTTCAATCTCCCTATGCGGCATTTGAAACGACGGTGCACGTTTCTCCACCCATCCCCCCCCCACTGCCGCTGCCCACCTAGCAGTATAAATGGGTTCACTACAAGTCGATCAACAGCTCACCGCATGCGATGGGGTAGAGTGCGCGTGCTCCCACCTCTGCCAAAATACCAGGGCGTGGAAGGGTCGGCCAAAAAGACACGCTGGATGTTTCGTTGTTCTCTGTAATATTTATTGGGAAGGGTGCAATTACAATTTCGTTCAGAAACTTTTGTACAAAGTACAGTAAATAAACATTGAAGCGGCTGTGAGATTGCCAGATATGCGATGTTGCACTCTACATGTCTGCTCAATTTATTATAATGTAACATGCCACGATAAATATTTAGACATTTTCATCAACATTAACATTTGGCAAATTGTGAATGTCTCATTGTTTATAACCACTTTAAAAATGATGTAAACCATGTTCCAAAACATTGCCTAATATATAGTTTTATAATCAAAACAAATCTATCCATATCACATATTTTGGCCAAACTGTTACTACACGAGTTCATGTACTGACTTTTTTATACATACAAAAAAAGTCATTTGCTATATTTGTTTCATGTTCAGTAATTTTGGCTTTAACGATTAATCGATCATTTATTCATATTCAATCTCAATAATTAATGAAAGAACATTCCAGATGCTATAATTAAAAAGCCGACAATATGTGCGCATCGGTTTAAGATTAAATGTTTTTCCAATTGTATACTTTATTATTGGTATGCTTTTTTACCCAGGAAAGCTTCACTGAGTCTCAGGATTATTTTTCAGGAGGGTCCTTACCAAAGGTTTTTGCAGGAGGTGGCGACGCTGATAAGTTTAATCCCAACTGAGTAATTTTCAGGTGATTTTTCAGAATTGGGATGTTACATCGTATGTTTTTTTATTCAACCCATTCTTAAAAGAGAGAGAACATACCAACTCCACAAGGAGCCCGAGTTGGAATAACCATTCTTACAACCTGGACAAAGAAACCTGTTTGCTAATGTGCAACCAAGGTTTTGCATTGACGGCTAATTTAAACACTATCATGGGACCTTTTTTCCCAGTATCAAAGTATGAAAAATAATAGGTTTTACCCTTTTCTGGCAATAAAACAGTTGTGTTAAGATGTTCAAACACCAAATAGATACATTTTGCAAGGAATCAAGTCTGCATTCACCACACGTACTTGTGGTGAACATGCAAACAAATCATGCTCTGATATGTGCATTGTCTTTGAAACTGATTGACCTACATCAGAGGACAGCCTTCTCTAATTTAAACACTCCTTAAAACAGACGCACTTTGGAAATCGTGAACATAATGCCAATACATGATTTCTCCCCACTTGATTTTATTCTGCACATACCTTTAGTACACCTTTCACCAAATCATCGAGCTCTTTCAGGAGGGATCTTGCCATGTTTTCTCAGTCGGGAGGTGATGTTTGCCAAGTGCCAATTGAGTAATGCACATGTAATTTGTCAGCATTGAGATGGTTTCGCTAATCACCGTTAGATTGCGGGGGGCGGGGGGAAAGGATTTGCTGTGGGAGGAAACCGAAGAATCTGTCAGATCTCCGAAGCTAAACATGCGTTGAGCCTGGATAGTGCTCGGATGAGTGGCCCGTTTGGCACGCCCGGGGTGCGTTATCGACTGTGCTCCGCTGTGGGGCGACAGGGGGCAGTGCAAGCCCAATGCAATCTTGTCCGCTCCCCACATCTCTCGTCGCTGTCCACACGACCGGTGAGAAGCAGTGACCAGAGTTTGTGGGCTATTGTTTTATTATAACAGTGTGTATATACATGAATGCCTACACACATTCAAACACTCCGGTGCATAAATAGGACAAGGATTTCTCGATAGCCGCATTATACTGTCGGGGCAAAAAAGCTGTTCGCATCTGTTAATGCCACCACGGCGCATGGGGAACGGTGTCTCCCCAAGTGGTAACGTTTACACACCGCACCACGTAGACGTTTAAGGCTGAGTCGCCCTAGGGGATGCCCAGGACCGGTTCACATTCGTCAACGATACTGGCCGTGAGTGGGAATCGAGCTTTAACCACGACACACACCACCGCTCCCCTATATGACCAAATACACCCCCCGCCGCTGTTTAGCCTTTGGGACACGTGCTGCTAGCGAGTAGCACCTATGAATTCTAGATTTGAAGCTTTCGTGACTGCAAGGATTCATTCTCTTAGGTTTTTTTCGGTAGTGATTTATTATTTTATTTCTATTATTATAAATATTATTTTATTATTTATTTTAAATTTTTTACCTACGTGACTTTACCGGAAAAACCTAAGAGTAAGCGCATATGAAAGCCGGCACGGCACACGAGGGGGTCGGGTGGCCAGCACCACGCCCGACCGCCTTTGTCTCCCTAGCGGCGATGTTTACGCATAAAACACACGAACACACAAAGAGAAACAGTCACGCGCCGTTGGTTGATTTAGGTTGCGAATGACGCCGATGTCATTGTTGGGACGGCGTGAGTTCACTTTGGTGTTTAAACAGTAACCTCACCCTCCCATACACTCCCCACGTTCCCTCTTATCTTCATCAGCTGCATCGATATCGTCATCGCAAGTTGCATCAGCTGTATGCCAATAAAATGCATCATGCCAAACTGCGTCTTGATTGATCATCAACATCCCACACAAGACAGAAATCATCTGCATCGCAAAGCTGCGTCGGCTACATTTAAGGCTTCGTCGTTATCAGCAGCAGCTGCTGCATCACAATCTACATTATCATCTTCATATTCTTGGTTCTTTCGGTAAAGTCACGTTATCATCGTCAACAGATTCATCATCATAAACTGCATCATCATTAAGCTGCATGAGCATCACCATAATGAATTATCGCATCGTTACGAACATATCATCATCAACAGGTTATCTGTATGGATAATTTAAATGTTATCCCCTCGTATGCGTGTTGGTTTTCCTAGGTGCTATGATTTCCTCCCATGCCCCACGAAAATATCCTCGTGCTATCTATCAAAACTATCTCATGGAGCAGGATCCTCCTGAATGAGTATTGACTCGGAGGCTTTTCTGGTAGTATAATCAACCTCACCCACAGCAATAATTCAGAATCCTACTTTCTGTACTGACCCTCAGAGGCATCAAACTCGTTGCTCATCATAATCACGGTGTCCTTAATGAATGATCCCATACTCCCTTCCTCGCGTGATCCGCCAACTCCAGTCTAGCGTATGCAGTAGTCTCTATCCCTAGTCGGCTCAGCCTTACAGAAGTACCATAAACACCAGTTCAACCATAGGTCGACTCAGCATTAAATGAGTACCAGGACACACCAGTATTCGTTTGAACTCCAGTATATACCGATCACAAAACTTCATAACCATATTCAAGAAATCTCACGCAGCCAGACCCCCCCAGTAGCGCGTCTATTGAGATCCATTGAGCTTCACCATACAATGCATTTTAAAGGCCACGGTTCTTGAGTAAGCAACTTCAAAAGTGCTGGAGGAGGCGTCCTACAAAAACAACCGCTGGATGAAGTTGAACGTTCAGAAGAAGCCGCTTTGAACTCTGATTTTCAAAAAGTTTTTTGGTTTGGCCATGTTGGTTTGTTGTAGTACAGAGTTAGAATGATGGCCTAATCTAAGTTGTCTTGTGGTTGTTGTTGTTGTTGTTTGACTTGTATTCCACTGGGATTTTTGCACAGTGTTGGTGTATGGTGATTTTTCTGCAATATTTTGCTGTCTTTTCTTGGATTTTCTGTTTGCACAAAGTCACTATAAGGTGTATTCTTGTTCATGTTTTAGTTTTTTGTTCGTTGCGGTTGCACCCGATTCAAGAGCCGAATGGCTCACAGGGCTATACCTAATAAATGAACTTTGAACTTTTAAAGGGGACTCTACAAACCACAGTTTCGGGGACCTGGGTCCTGTTGGCTTTGCATTTCGCACAGATCTGCCGTTCTTCAGCCGTGAGAGACTTTAAACAACAGCATAGAGACCAGTGTTCTTCACTAATTTTAAGAGGGGGGGGGGATAGTTTCGTCGATAAGATATCATCATCAGTGTGAGAGCCACCACACATTCGTTAACCATCGAGGTTTGAGAGCAGCACGATAATGATGATGGGGTGATGTTCTCACTATTTGTGTATTGGTGTGTTTTTTGTTTGTTGCCGTTGCACCCGATTCAAGAGCCAAATGGCTCACAGGGCTATACCTAATAAATGAACTTGAACTAAAGGCCACCAGGGGCCCGCGAGCCTTGCAATGAAGACCACTGTCATAGACTGGACCACAATTGGCGTGTCCACATTAGCAGGGCTTCATTTCTCACTCGATATTCCACGGAACCTTGCTAGGCTGGCTTTGGAGTAAGGATTACCGGTGTAAGGTAACTACCACGATGGAACAAGGTACGCCTACCTGTAGTATTCCTGTATCACTGTACCCAATATTCCTGTATCCTATATGCACACAGCAGAACACATCAAAGTATCCCGAGGACAAGAAGGCGAAGTTTATATGGCTGGATGCCACAATAATCTACGGAACAGCGCTCAGGACTGTTCTGGCTGAGATAAATAATCATCACGAGCCATGTTGTATCTACTGCTGGATGAGACATGTGGTATCTACTGCTGGATGAGACATGTATCTACTGCTGGATGAGCCATGTTCCATCCACTGCCGGACTGCATGGACTTCTTCCTGAGGTGTGTTAATCTGTGGTTGACTCGGTCTCAAATCAGTACCCGGCGCAGCGTATACACATCGCTACTAGAGAGACAAAGGCGGCCGGGCGTGGTGCTGGCCACTCCACCTCCTCGTGTGCCGTGCCGACCTTCATAGGCGATCTCCAACAGCACTTGCCCCCTGTTCAATGCTATCCAGGGGAATCGTTGTCTTCTTGTAATGTGTGGTACTGAATTTGAAAGTCCTCTTCGAAGGGTTCCTTCCCCACAGCTTCTTTTGAGTTAAAGCTCCGTGTTTTGTGTTGCGTGGGCAAGACGGTCTGTGTGCGTGTGTCGTGTTCCACCGCCTTCGCCTGCTACTTTCTTGCCGGGTTCACCTGAGGCTCTACTGGACATCTGTGGAAGCTACTGGAAGTCTGCAAAAGAGCTTTGTCGCTCATCGGATTTCTCCAGTATAAATACATATTCTGGTTCAGTAGCGTGCGATACAACGAACATTAATTTAGACCACGTCACGCCACCACAGCCACGCAACAATTTAGAATGCTGGAGTGTATATGGTGGTTGTGATTTATAGATGATGATGATGGCCTGGATGATTAATGGTGGTTGTAGTTTATAAATGACGAATGTTTAAAATAACGATGGTTTTCAATGAGCTCACGTCACCCCAACAGCCACTAAAGGCGCTACATTTTCACCATCATGTCAAAATAATCTATCGTACTGTACATAATAAAGGTTTTTTTAGTTAGATCGCGTAAACATAAAAAAACCGCCACCACCCGACACAGCCAATTAATAAGGGTTGTCACGTCATTAAAACGTGCCAATTATTTACTTATTCACCACACCGGTGTGATGGAGAGTAAACCCGCAACATTTCGCTGGTGATTGCAACCAGCTTCATCGACGCATTCATATTTACGCGATCTAATCCAAAAAAATACCATTTGTTTTTGATATCTGTCGCGAAAGCCGACGTGTTAATCTACCGTACACTGTATTGCTACAATTATTGATATTGCCAGCGGCAGGAAAACTGCTGTGCCTTTTTCATGAACTTACATATCGGCATGGTTTCCACGTTACAGGGTTTTCTGGGTCCAAATAGCTGAAATAAACGCGTACCAGGAAAGCACCGACTCTTTTTTTTTTGGGAGGGCTCTGCTTTGGGATGTTTGGCCAATTCCATTAGTGAGTGAGGCTTCGTGTGAAAGGAAATCGGAGATATTCTTGGATCTTTCAGTAAAGTCACGTAGAAGGGAAATAAAATAATAAAAATAAAACATAATAAAATGCTCACGACGTTTCGGCCACAACACAAGCAGCCGTCCTCAGGTGAAGAACAGAGCTGTCAGGAAAGACAGCGTCCTAATGAACACTTCTAAGCTTGGCCGAAACGTGAGAATTTATTATGTTTTATTTTTATAATTTTAGTATTTCCCTTCTACGTGACTTTATCGAAAGATCCAAGAATATGAATCCCTACAGTCACGAAAGCTTTACATCGAAATCGGAGATAGCCCCGAGAAAAGCCACCGCACAGATACATCAGACGCATGGCCAATTGAATGACTGACAACCCGTTATTTAAACACGATAGCCGATTCAGGTCGATCTATTCTTCATTTTTCAAAGGGAGTCTCGAGAGAGACCTCAATTCCACTGCAGATAGATTCAATCAGAGTTGCTGTACTGCTACCTGCTGGCCGACTTTGCAGGCTCAAACTGACGAAACGTGGAATTCCCCAGGCATTTTCCCACCCACGTACTAACCGGGACCAACACCGCTTAGCTCCCGAAATCACACCGAGATTTGGAAAAAAAAATCTAAATTAACTCCAGGTTCACAGCCAAGGTAAGGTATTTATACAAGTTGGAGGCATCTGCTGTACCAAATATATCCACGTTTTGGAAGAAAACGACCTTGTTCTGTGTGGGCACAACGCAGAGTCAATAAACCAATGTGTGGCAATGTCCTCTATAAACTCAGACGAGCGTCGCCGAGTCGATTTGAGTGCATGGCTGCGGAACCTATGCCCATGACTTCATTCGAAACGTGGCCACGACTTAAGTGTTTTTTTTGCATGCGTCCCCACGTTATTGGAATGCCCTCGTCTTTTCAGCTGATACTCGGCTCCCTCCCGCCTCCACCATTTAAACTCACTCCTCGCCTGGCTCACAATGCACACGGATCGACCGATTCACCCGAAGGCAACCCCGCTTGCTGTTTCACTCTTCGCGTTCCCGTGATGGTGTTGGATTATTAAGCCCGATCGTGTTCGCTCCTCTCCCCCACCATTCATTACCTCCCTCGCCCTTTCTTTTGGTGCAATATGCATGTTTAAATTGCTAATATAAATACGTGTTATTACAGCATCGCTAATAGTTTTTGTTTGTATTATAATAATTGGTTACTTGTACCTTCGATGCGTTGTTCCGATGCTCTCCTGTTCCTCCGTACGGATCACTTTTGACGTTGTTGCTTTAGTTCTGTGCTGCTGATGCACCGCGGATCTTCCTTGCAAACTCGCTGGGTAATTGGCTAAACCGGATTTTCCGTGCAACAAATAAACATTGGTTGTTACGAGACGTGCCACTTCAAAACGGTCTGCAAAACGATCATGAATTAATCTTCTTGGTTCTTTCGGTAAAGTCGCGTAGAAGGGAAGTAATACATTAATAAAAATAAAAATAAGAAAATAATTCTCACGACGTTTCGGCCACAACGCAAGCAGCCGTCCTCAGGTGAGGCGAAGTGGCTGAAACGTCGTGAGAATTATTTAATGTTTTATTTTTATTATTTTATTACTTCCCTTCTACGTGACTTTACCGAAAGAACCAAGAAGATGAATCCCTGCAGTCACGAAAGCTTTAAATCGAGATAATGAATGAAGCCGATGAACCTGCGTTTGATTTCCGGCCACGGATAATATCAGTGGCGAGTGACACCTGAACCGATCCCTGGGCAACACGGTTCATGAAGTATGGTCAAACAATCCCCCCCCATGCCCTCGACCGACACAGCATGGGGATAACCTTCATCCAGCTATGGATTGGCAACGTGCTGTAAATCAATTAAACTAATAAGCACCATTGGTGGTCATACCGTAGAACCAGCTATTGTATGCGAGGCCCACACTCGCTTTGGACACCAAATCAATTGCCACTGCAGTCCAGATAAGCCGGCAGTAAATCCCGGCTTATCTGGAATGCCGGCCCAATGAACTTGCTGCGACTCGCAGGCCACCGTTACCCATAAACAGTGTTTGGGGCTTCAACACACGAACACTTGACATTATAATCACACGCATTGTTTGCGAGCGCCAGTGTAGAGAACCGTGATGGGCGACCGCAAACACTGCACAGCTCAAAGGGTGCGGGAGAGCGTCTTGGCGGACCCTGCGACATTGAACAAGAAAAGTTTTGAAGACTGGGACGCACGATGCCCAACCTGCCTGCAGTTGCAGCACGATGCGTGTTTCTCAATGCAGTAGCGTCAATTTCTCCAGAGTACAAGGCGCGATTGTGACCACTGGATCGGTTCTCTCATCATGCCTTGCATGTTACGTGCTATCGGCACATTGGGTGTATAATGCATGCAACCTTGTTTTAGGTGCAAACTGAAAAGTGTAAAAATTGTAGCTGTATTAGACAACAGCAGGAAAATGAGATCAATGTATTCCGGATTCATTATTGTTAGGAATCATCATAAAGTAAAGCCATCAATAGCCACAATTTTGGCCGAACATCCAATTTCGGGACCCTCCGGTAAATGAATATTAATACTGGAATTTTCCGGATAAATAATATATTTCTAAATGCAACTTAATAAACGATTAAGTTGTTTATTCAGGAAGGTGATTGTTCATATATCTACAAGAAAATCCAATAAATTAGCCTGACCTCAAACAAGAGGCGTCTCTAGTTTTGAAAAAACCCACATCAAATGTGTGTGATATGACTCAATAGTATTTCCAAGGAGGGCCCAACATTGTTGGTGTGTTTAACCAATTCATTCTCAGCCTTGTTGCCGCACAAAAGCCACGTAAACAGTTGCAGAATGCAGCAAGGGTTCACGCTGCCTACTGAAAATCACGCAAGGGGTACATCCAAATGTTCCCAAATTTCACCGCGATCCACAGGCCACCGAGGGGCACTCGTGACTGTCCAGGCAAGTGGCGACTTGTCTCCCAGGGCCCCCAGAGAATGACGACGTTGTGCTACGGTGAAAATAGGGGGGGGTGGCCTCTTAAGAACTTGCGAGAGGAAAAAATAAACATTGAACAACGGCAAGCACACTCAAGAGAGGACATATACACAATCCACACAGCGATGACACACGAGGGTACAGATGATAGATTGCTGGCCTGATTTGTGTGATGGTGACAGAGGTAACGCTGACGTTTTGGGGAAGGGGGAAATGGCAAGCAGATGCAGTTTTTTGCTGGTTTGGTTTTCTTCTGACAATTGGTAGAATACAGTTGTTTCCGCCAACGCGTACAGCAAATCACTGCCAGGATGTGCTCATCACCATATACTGACACAAGTATCACCACCAGTGTCATCACTATCATCCTTATCATCACCATCAAGATTACCACCACCAGCGCCACCATCATCACTATTATTGCCATCATTATGACCGACACCACCACCATCATTACCAACTTCAGCATATTTTCCCATTCTCTATATCATGATCACTCGTAGCCAATCCACTGCTGGATGGAGGTCTCTACAATCCAACGCCATCTCTCCAGAATCCTGCAATGTAGCAATCCTCAATGCACATGAACTGATTTCAATGCTCCATCTCCTCTGTTAATGCCATGCCAGCAAAATAAAACTCGTCACTTTTGTCAGTGTAATAAATCTATTTATTCAGTGTTTTTTTATTCGAAAAAAATACTGTTTGAAAGGGTGGAAACTGAAATGCGATGACCAATAGAACACTACATGCCACACTGATCCACCAACCACCATGCATTGCACACAATTTCTTTTAAAAAATAACAACTTGCAAGTGTATATAACCGTAACAAAAATTTGATTAAACTGGTTCACAATGTGTCCAACGTGTAAAGTAACAGTGATATAATGCTACTTACCAAGAATAGCCTTTCCGATTCCCAAGACTCTTTAAAAAAAAAGGTCCCGCTACATTGGGATGTTTGTCTCATTCCATTAATGTGATTGGCTTCATGTGAGCAGAAACTCACCATGCATACGAGGGGGTGAAACTCAGCGCAGTCATTACTGGCCACACCTCGCATCCCCACCGTACAACACCCGCCATGCCCTAATGTTGGTCACCCATCCAACTACGAACCAGGTTGAGCTTCATTAATTCTGACGAGATCCAGCACATTACGGGTAATTTGGACGTAGTTGGATTTATTTCAGAAAACAACATCTACACGCGGTCGATACCGTAGATTTCTACTCCGTGGGGCTTTCTGCCACTACGACACAAGTGTGAAAAGCGTATCATCATTGCACAAACCACAAGCGAAACAAAAAAAAGTCCTGAGCATACCTCAACTTTGAAGAGGGTACAATATACAGTGTGTGGATATTTTCACCAAAAAAAACTTCATTTTGAAAAGAACATATAAGTGGTTTAAGCGTTGACATACCTATTTGGCAAACTTTATATTCAACAAACTCCATAAAAAAGATCTCGTCGATACTTCGTTATTTTTAGCAGGGCGCTCAAAAGGTTTAGAGACAATAAATAAGATATGTCTAACATTATATAAATGGTGAAGTGGCACCTCAGTTGTTAGTGCCCTGCACTGTGAACCCAATCTGATTTTGAATTTAACTGGTCCTACCCCTTGGTCATCCACTTCACCAACCCACAATGACCAGCGTGTTGAAATATGGTAAAAAAAAACTCCATGACTGACATGGTGTGGCAAGGCTTCACACGTAGCAATGGATTGCTCGACGAAGACCTTCCTGATAATTGGTTTTTTACCCTTCTAATTATCATATTTTTTACTGGCAAATGAGGTTCCAATGGTGAAGACCTTCCTCTTCATCATCGCCACTGTTTCCTTTTCCCCCTGTTTTATGTCCACCCAATTTGCATAACAATTTGAAATGTTGTTGCATCCACCCATCGTTACAATGCCCATTGGTGTACGAGGTTGTGGTGGTTCAGGTGGCCTGTGCACGATCTGTCTTGGCGATGCTCAATTTGCCAACTCGTGTTTTTTTCGTGATATTTATTTAACTTTTTTCCAATATTTGTTTGAGTTTCATGTTTGTTGTGCAGTTGCTATGTACAGAGTTCTGGATAAGCTGTTGTATTTAGACTCTAGATGCTATATAAATTAAAATTACTCTTATGTTAACACCAATGGTTGCGTGATTTCAGATGCACTTCTGCGGCCGTCTGGAACGCTCTTCACTGGAGCTATGCAATTTTACATCTAAATTGAAAACGAATTTCTTTAAAACTGCTTTTTGTGTTCCGTTTCTTGTCTTTCCCCCAAACGATTGGCTACTTATGGTGTGAAATAAATTCAACCTGCATACAAACTTACAACGGATAATTTAAAGAAAACAGGGGTCATCCTAGGCGAGACTGGTCCCTGCCATTGGAATGTTGAATTTCCACCATATACATTTGTCCACCATTGCAAATAAGCACTTCCCAATAATTGACACTTTGTGACTGATCGTAATCACAAAGTTACTTTGTCAAATTAGTAGAGAAAACGCACCAATGTCTTTATCACCAACAGGTCAAATCGGCAAGGTGATGCGTTTCAGCCAGTGGTGTAGCTACCAAAAATACAACTAAACCACTGGTTTCAGTCGTTTCATTTACATTTTGACTTTTAAACACAAGTTAGAGCATTAAATAAACCTGCTAATATTCGGTCCGTGTGCTTTTACGTTTTAAAGATCTCAAAACCTTTTGGTTGCCCACTGCTATGTGCACGAATACACAATGTAAAAACCACACCACAGCATTTAACAATGCACACACGTTAAATATTCAATAACCGTTTAGGTTCAATATAAAACTGCATCCGTGCTGTACAGAGGTCGCAAACGGGTTTTGATTCCTTACCCGTACCCGGCCGCACCAGGGTCGCAAACGGGTACCCGTACCCGGCCGTACCCGTACCCTACACCCGTACCCGGCCGGGAACGGGTAGGGTACGGGTATCGGGTACCTGATTGCGACCTCTGGGATGAAGCCATGTTGCAGGCGCGGGTGGGTTGATTCTAGGAACTTGAATTGTGAGAAGAGACAAGACGTTGGGAAATGAGTGACAAACAGTTACTCACCAGTGACTCACGGTCTACCCGTACCCGGCCGCACCAGGGTCGCAAACGGGTACCCGTACCCGGCCGGGTACGGGTAGCCGGGTATCGGGTAGGGTACGGATATTGGGTACCCGGTTGCGACCTCTGGTGCTGTAGCTTCCAGTTAAAAGACTACCAACTTGTTATTACGTACAGAAAATAATTTGAGATGTTTAAACAGGAAAACCTCAGGAGGGTCCTGCTTGGAATGTTAAGCCAATTCCTTTACACATTTTTGTAATTTCACATTTATGGATAGTAGAATGAAGACACTTACACTTTTTAGTTTAAGCGTAAACATTTCCTCCTTGAATTTGGCTACTTTTAATGAAGAGATTTGATTGCATGGAATTATTGTTTTCAATACACAACACACCGAGTTAGCGATCAATCGTCGATCCGCTATCAACTGCTGTTGACCTTTAGTTGCTGACAGTCTAAGATTAGTCGTTCGAGACTAAACAACTGTATGCGACATATGCACACGTACGCACAATTACACACACACACTAAAGTATACTCTCAATGCACACCACTGCCAACCGTTTTAAAGTTTTGTTTGAAAATACCATGGCAACGCTGGTTTTATGGGGAGCAGTGTGTTGCGTAGAGACCCGACACGGCTGCTTTCTATTGCCTGCTGGAATGCTGGTGAAATGTGCTTGAGAATTTACGGCAAAAGGAGACAAAAGGCAAAAACGATTCAAAACGTGACGGCGCTGGCCAAGTGTTTTGCTCGAACTTTAGGATTCAGGAAAACGCAATGTCCCCCCCCAGATGAATGTATTTGTAACTTTGGATCTGGATTTGTAGTTTGCGATGATGGGGTGTATCCATCCTGCATACAAGGTATTGGTGAAAATTTTTTTTTTGCATACCACATAGTCGATAACTTCACTAAAATTCATAATTGCGTAACACAATATAAAATGTCTCAGTTCTAAAAGATATATATTTTAATGTTGAAGGTTTTAAGTGAATTTGTTTTCAGAGGCGGGCAAGTGCATCAAAATCCGTCAGAGTACTGTACACATGGTGGTCCAGATGTCTCGTGACCCACATTTAATTATCTAAAACCTCATATTTTTAAGAAATAAACACGCATAAGAAAAAAATTTCAGGGGTAAATTAATGTGGGTGTCAGAACACATTTGGACCACCCTGTACAATGCTCCATGTCTGCTCTCTGCTTCACCAACCCACACTGACCAGCATGGTGAAGCAGAGTCAAATAACCCCCCACCCCCCACGATCCACATGGCGTGAAGAAGCCCTTATCCAAGCGACTTGCCAACTGGGTTGTACGTGAATATTAGCGAATTCAGACAGGAATTGATCTGTCAGACCATAAATAATAAAATCAGCTCCAGAATTTTTGTTCCATCCAAAGCAAAGCAACGTACGGTGGGGATATAATTGCGGCCTGAGGAATATGCATACCTGTATTTTGTTGTGAATAAATACAATGTACAATCCGCGTGCTTTTGCATGGTTAAGCTTCCCTACCAATCCACACAGCATCATCAATAACACGGATTACCTACTCCTGAGCTATTAGGACAACACGACACCAAAAATCGTAAATCCCTCAATCATAGCCATTAAGCCAAGGGATAAATGTGAGCTTTATGGGATTTTGCCTCGCGTGACCGAATGGGTCTTTGACAAGGGTGTCGAGTTACATGTGCGGAGGCTTTTAGTCAGGGCTTCATTTCTGACTGTTTTCTATGTCACTGGCAGACAGGCACGTGACCAACAGCCACAGCTATAGCGAAGAGAATATACTGGATAAGGCGCTCTGGGTTGCGGAAATATTTTCCTGGTCGCTGGTACAGGCAGACCCGGCTGAAATGAATCCCTTATTGTCATCCTCATTTGTCTTGAAGATCCCATATGCACTGTGCGTACACATGGCTAGGGTACGCTGCTGAGCGCTAAGATGGGCGCAGCTCGTTCCAAATCTGTCATGCTGACCTATTGCAATTCAGAATTCCTGACCTGGAAAGCATGCGGCTAAATCGAAGTTTTATTACAGTGAAAACAGTCCTGCATTTGTATCCATATGCACATGCTTATTGTCGTGAGTTGTTTATGTTCATCAAGTGCTTTTCTTAATGTTGAAAATTTTTGTTGCATTTTTTAAATGCTGAGACATTAACGTGCTATAATATAATTGTCACCTGTTAACGGTTGTAATAACATATATTGTATATTCATATTCCATTTGGACCTATGCCTTGTTAATTCATACCTGTCGACCCCTTATCACTGCCGACCTTATTACAGACCAATTCAGACCTTATTGGTCACCTCATACCCTTATAAATCTCAGCGTTCATCCTACAAAGTCCCATCACAAGGGGGAAACACAAACAAATAGACATTTTTCCCCGTATTGAAACGAAACGGGTTATTTCCCCAGGTAAAAAAGGTTTGTTGTGTCAACCGGATTGCACACATCTGGTTAGACAATGGACTGCATTATCAAATGATTAGTATTAGTATTATTAACAGGATATAAACATTGCATTGAGCCAAGCTTAGTCATTAAGTCAGTGTTGTTCTATCAGTGTCCAAAACTTGACCCCCATGCAACATGTCCAATGGGGCACAACTGAATGCATGTCCACCATAGGACGCATACTGCATGAATAACAGAATGAACTAATGGTCCACACAATATAGTGACGCCGAAGGCAATCATCGGCCCAACACCGACTGATATCAAATCGTCCAGTAAGGACGAACTGACCAACACGACGACCCTCAGTCCTAACCCCGCGCCACCTAGAGTAGGCGCAGCTGGAGCTCAGCCTCCCGCACCATCTTGTCAAAGGATCGCGTCTGCGTCGCCTCCCGCACTTTCTCCCGCACCTCGAACGAGGCCCTCGCCACGGAGCGCGACTCCTCCAGCCTGGCGTCGCGCCGCCGCGCCGCTCGCTCTCCCCTCTCCTCCTTCTCGCGGAGGCGCGCCAGCCTCTCCCGCCGGCGGTTCTCCTCCTCGAGCACGGCGCGCCTCGTCGCCTCTCCGTGCGCCCGCTCCTTCTCCGCCCGCTCCCGCGCCGCCCTCTCCGCGCGCCGCTGGGCGCCCTCCCCGGCCGCCAGCGCCGCCTGCCGCAGCCGCCGCTCGGCCTCGGCGGCCAGGGCCTCCCGCCGGGAGCGCATGTCCTCGTCGAGGCGCTCGGCCGCGGCGCGCGCCCGGCGCAGCCGCTGCCCGTCCCGCTCGGCCCGCAGCTGCAGCTCTCGCAGGCGCCGCGTCTCCTCCTCGTCGCGCCGCCGCTGCGACGCGCGCAGCCTCGCGTCGAGCGCCTCGCGCAGCCGAGCCTCGCCCGCGTCCTCCTCCCGCGCGAGCTCCCGCTGCGTGCGCAGGTGCCGCTCGCGCTCCCGCTCGTTGGAGAGCCGCCTCTCGCCGCGCCGCTGCTCCTTGGCCTCCAGCCGCTTGCGCTCGGCCAGCGACAGACGCTCGCGCAGATTCTGCTGCTGGCGCTCCGGGTCCCGCCCGTCCGCCGCGGCGGCGGCGTCGGCCGCGGCGCCGGCTCGGGGGGGCGGCGGCGGCGGCGGCTCCGACGGTGGAGGCTCCCGTTCCCGCAAGCGCCGCGCCAGGGCGCGGCCGCGCTCGCGCTCGTCCAGCACGCGGCGCTCCTCCTCCGCGCGCCGCGCGTCCGCCCAGCGCAGGTGCGCGTCGCGCCGTTGCTCGGCCGTGAGCGTCTCCTCGCGATGCCGCGCCAACATCAGAGCCGCGATCTTCAGGTCCCGGCTCGGCAGCTCCAGGCCGCGCTCGGCCGCCCGCGCCCGCTTCCTGGGGCCCGTCCCGGCGCCGGCTCCCGGGGCTCCCGCCGCACGCGTCAGCTGCTGCAGCTGCGCCGCGGTGCCGGGGTCCTGGCTCAGGTCCCCCAGGCTCAAGCTCTTGCCCGTAAATGTACAGCGCGGGCCCGAGGTGCGGCCTCCGGGGCACGGGAGATTGTCGTGGGCCCGGCGTGGGAGCGGTGGCCGGGAAGCGGCGCCCTGCAGCTGCAGGCGTTGCCGGGGCCGCGTCTTTCCCAGGGGGTCGCTCACCGTGTCGTGGCTCCCGCTGCTGTCATCCAGGCTGCAGCCATCGCTGAGTGCGACCGGGGTCCGATGACCGGGCAGGGGTAGCGAAGCACGCACCGTCTCCAGGGAGCGGCTCTGGTGAGGAATCCCCAAGGGTCGTAGCCCGGTGCCCGCCAGCCTGGATGGCAAGGGGTCCACGCTTCCTCCTCGCTTCTGCTGATGATTTTGCTGTTGCGCTTCCCTGCGTTTTTCGCGTTCCTCCAGCACAATCCGCTCCCTCTCATCACGGCAGCGGCGCAGCTTGCGCCTCCTCTCCCGCTCGAACGCGGCGTGAGCCGCACGCGCCTCCTCGCTGTCGCGGCCGAGGCCACCGAGGTCCGTGGTCGAGTTGGATTCCCGGTCACTGCTGGCAGCACCGGGAGGCGATTCAGCGGGGCCGGGTGCCGCAAAGTCGGCGAGGGGCCGTGACAGCAGCTCGACGGGCCGTATCCCGCAGCGCGCGCACGACTCGAGCGAGCGCGGACTCGTGAGCACGTAGCGCGACCCCTCGGCGCGGGGCGAATCGAAGTTGTAGAGGTCGATGTGCAGCAGCGGGGAAGAGCCCGACTCCACGGAGCCCGACTCCATGGAGCCCGAACGGGGCCCCGAAAACCTCGGCCCCCCTGGTACCCTCGGAGCCGCCTCCTCCTCGTTATCCTCCACTGCACCTTCAGCCTTCCCCTGGGGTCGGGCTGCAGCGGGACGGCAGTAAGCATCACCAGGGCCATTGGAGACCCCAGGGAAGTGGCTGGAGACGCCGCTCGGCTTGCGCGTGGTGGAAGGGCTGAGAACGTCCACCATGGCTGAGGGGGAAGGTGGAAGATGCCTCCAGCGATGGCCCTCGCGATCCTCCACTCACGCTGCGCTCCTTCCAGCACCGTCCTCTGGCTCGTGTCTTATTTCTAACTCCTGTTTTCCTCCTCCAAACCTTTCCCTCCGGTCACTTCTTCTTTCCTCCCCGACCCTCTGTCCTCCAGCTCAACCGACTACTTCAAATTCGCCCTCCAAACGATGATTTACGTTGAAATTCTTTCGCACCGTGCGTAGGCAACACTGCCCAACCGGAGGTGCTCCTCCCTCCTGCAGACCCCTAACCCCTGTCCACTTTCTCCCCCAATTCCTTCTCAAACCTCGTCCTCTTGGTCCTCCTCCTCCACCAGTCTTAGTGATTCACCTCCCCCTGCTCTTCCACACCCCTACCTAGTGCACGTTCTGTTGTCCTCCTGCTCACCTCATCCACCTCCCTCTTCTCCTAACCCTGCCCTTCTCCTCTTTACAGCAGCCCACCGTCTCAAATGCCTCCCCCTCCTCACCTCGTCTCCCCTCACCTCGCCCTCCTCACCTCGCCCTCCACCTCTTCGCGTTGTCCTCTGGACCCCGTTATCTACTGCCTCCAAATTCGTATTTCTCTTCCTCACCTTGTCCACCTCTTCCTCCTCCTCTGTCCTCTTCCTCCCGACCCAATCTCGCGTTCCCTCCAGACCTCGTCCACCTAACCCCGTCCTCACCTCGTCAACCTCCTACAGTCTCCGTTTCCCTCTTCCTCACCCTCCCTTCTCCTCCTCGCCTCTCCTTGCTAACCCGACCTCGTCACCTCGTCTTTCTAACGCCGTTCTCCCCTTCACCTCTTCAGCTCCTCGTCACCTCTCCTTGCTAACCCCGACCTCGTCACCTCTGTAACGTATCCCCCGATATCTTCACCTCCCTCTCGTCTCGTCTCTCTACCCCCCCCCCACCTCACCTCGTCCTCACCTCGTCTTTCTACCCCCCCCCCTCACCTCGTCTCTCTCTTCGTCTCTCTACCCCCCCCCTCACCTCCTTCTCACCTCGTCTCTCTCTCCCCCCTCCCCTCACCTCCCCCTCACCTTGTCTCCCCTCACCTCGTCTCTCCCCCCCCTCCCCTCACCTTGTCTCCCCTCACCTCGTCTCTCTCTCCCCCCTCACCTCGTCTCTCTCTCCCCCCTCACCTCGTCTCCCCTCACCTCGTCTCTCTATCCCCCCTCACCTCGTCTCTCTCTCTCCCCTCACCTCGTCTCTCTATCCCCCCTCACCTCGTCTCTCTCTCCCCCCTCACCTCGTCTCTCTCTCTCCCCTCACCTCGTCTCTCTCCGCTCCCCTCACCTCGTCTCCCCTCACCTCGTCTCGCTCTCCCCCCTCACCTCGTCTCTCTCTCTCCCCTCACCTCGTCTCTCTATCCCCCCTCACCTCGTCTCTCTATCCCCCCTCACCTCGTCTCTCTATCCCCCCTCACCTCGTCTCTCTCTCTCCCCTCACCTCGTCTCTCTCTCCCCTCGTCCACCGCCACCACCGCCGTCCCCGCCGCCGTCCCCGCGCCCCGGAGTCGTTTCGCGCTGTCAGATCCCCCACAGCCCCCCCCCCCCCTTCGACGCGTCCGGCGCGCTCCCATTGGCCCGAGGGGCGCGCGCGTGCCGGGCGCCGACCAATCAGGAGCGGCGAGCGCGCGCAACTGAACTATAAATTCCAGCGGTGCCGCGGTCGAAGCCCCCAAAGCTCCCAAACAACGGTGGGGAGCGGAGTGAATGAATGGGGGCCCACGTGTGTGTGTTCATGTGTGTGTTCATGTGTCTTCATGTGTCTTCATGTGTGTACGCACGTACGTGTGTGTACGTACGTGCGTGTGTCGGAAGAAGCTTTCACTGTTCAACGGTCTGTACTTTGTTATTTCGTTGATGTATTATTTTCCGAAAGCTTGCTGGAATTTCCTACAACAAAGTTCTGTTTTTGTCATGTGTTTTTTTTCGTTGTATTGCCGGGTTTGTTTCGTGTCTCACTTGTGTGCGTATATTGTAAAGTAATATTAATATAATTCGTTGGAGTAAGCCAATAAAACTACGGTGCTCTCCGGATTATCAGACTGTGCGAACAATAAGACGCACCCCAACTTGCTTAAAATTACGGGGGGGGGGGGTTAAATACGCCCTATAATAGAATATATATTTTTCTTATTATTTATAAACATCTGTTTTAAGATACATTTTACGTGGTACTCATTCTGTAAATTTACGTTTAACTTGTTTTGCGATCGTAAATATTGAAACCGACGCTGTTGAAAAGTGTTTAACAAAAAATACTTATTTTTGTTTTCCTGAACGGTCAGATATGATTGAGTAGTGTCTGCTTATTCATTGTGCTAGTTGTATAATGTACATTAACCACTTGTGTAATTTGCGATAGTGATGATTCCGTAATCCCATCTATGTAGCAGAGCATCAATGAGTCTCAAGAATAGTTATCAGGAGGGTCCTGCTACATATTTGGCCGATTCAATTTTAAATGATGAGTGTTGCACGGTGGCCACCTCTCCATGCACTATGCAGCCTCAACAATGCGAAGCTTCCGAGATCCGACAAGATCCGGGCACGCAATCGTGTTGGAGGTGATATGGATTGGAAGTCACCTGCTGTCGTAAAGAGGCCGCCAAATGTGTCCACGATCTTAAAACGATTCGAGGCTTGAATGCAAAAGGAAGAGAATCGTGCAATCATCCATCGCCACCAGCCACGGAACCCAAACTAGAGGCACCAGACGCCCTCTGGTGTCGTACGACTGAAATGTCCAATCCACAACGCACTTGCAACCGTGTGCTGTTGTGGAATCCTGAGTAATATTCACAAGTGATGACCTGGGGGGGGGGGGGGAGTGGTGGCCTGCATCCAGCAGTGGATTGAGTCATCGTGGCTGATTATGATCACATGACGACACCAACCTTGCAGCAATCACCAAATGATGATGCAACATCGTATCTTTCCCTATCTCTGCATTACAAATGTAAATACTGGACTCTACTCTATGCACAACTTCCTTTATTGAGTACGGTAATCATTTGTCGGAAATAAATGTAGACAACAAGATACGTATTCGGGATGCGATCCTGATTTTGGAATGAGTCCAAAAAATATCCAGTTTATGAAAATCGAGCAGAGGTAAAATTTCACATCCAGATTTTTTAAAACATTGCATATTAAAATATGGCCTCATGCTGTAACTTCCACCATTTTCCCCAAAGACACTTATTTGAGGTGGGTATTGCATCAGGATATTTGTCCAATTCCATGACTGAGTGTTAAGTCTAAGTGAGAGAAACCAGAGCACGTGAGAAAAAAAAAACTGCTCATGTATGAGATGGCAAGACTCCGCACACACCTCACAGCCTGCATAGCCTGGAGTTCCCGGAGAGTCTCCCATCCCAAGACTAACGAGATCAATCCCACTGAGATCTGGTCGGATCGGGAATTGAGTGATTTTGTGGAGGTGATTTTGCTATGTGGTCTAATTTCCCACGAGCTCACAGCACCAATTGCCACCATTGTTTTTTTGTAGGTAGTGCATAGAATTACAAAGTTTTGTTGATAAAATAATTTATTAAATAGTCATTAGGGAAAACCGCGGGGTTATTCCATAAACTAAAACACAAACAGCCATACATCACGGCACCTGAAACGTCATCGTCAAATCGAGGGAAAAATACAGTGCATCACACGTCATACTAAAAAACTATCCTTTTTACATCAATGAAAACATTGCTTTATATGGCAGTGTTTCTAGGGAGTTGGAGAGCGGGTTTGGATGTTGGTGTCCGACAGCACATGTACATCAACAATTTTCGATCAGTAATTTAAAGTCAAGCTAGGATTACGGATACTTGTGTTACCATCTATTATAGACACGTACAGCCCCATAGTCATTACACTGCTGGGCGAGGGCCTCTCCACTGATGGATAAGGTGCGTTATGTAACCATACTTTACCACAATGATAAGTGTAGATCGAAGGTGGGGTATCAGAGACGTGGAAGCACAGTTCAGTACAACAGATTTTGCTGCACTGCCCACAACAAAGCACAAGTCCACGTCAGCCTGACAACCCGGTGTGCACGGTGGTCACTTATCAAACTATTATTCACGTTAAAACCTGCTTAGCTTCTCAGATACGATTACATGAGATATATTTCAGGTGATCTGGTCATCGGTGCCATTTATGATAACACTGAATTCACATTTACAATGTTTTACAGGCCAGAGGCCAGGAAGGTCGCTGCTGTATATGTTGACACATAATAGTACAGTCCATGCAAAAAGGTAATTTATAGAGAGCAAATGTGCAATTAAGATTAAAGGTTTAGCTGTACCATCATATCTTATATCACCATACTTTTCTGTCGAATGTCATGTAATGTTGAGGATTGGTTTGTGTCCATTTGCACCAGCGAAGGACAGCAAGTGGGGTCTTGTGGGTTTGTCAGGGTGACGACTGAATTACTATTGTGTTAACAAGGTCATTAAAATATAAAAATAGCACTGTAATACCATGACACAAAGCTTATAATTAGTATATTTGTATTGTTATTCATACACAATACCCTGAGGGTCCTGCTGTATTGGGATGTTTAGCCAATCCAATTCATAACGTTGACAAATGTGTTGACTTTTCAGTTGAGTGGATGTATGTTGAACTACTTTCACGCCGTACGTTAAGCGGAGGTGTGGGAACTTAACAAAGTGCCATAAGGACAGGTTCTTAAACCCACTTTCTATGCTGCTACCTCTTGACCACCTCACACTGTTCACAACTATCAACCAGTGCCTCTAAAATAACTGGATTACAAGCATGTGTCACCACATCTAGTTACTTAAATAACTGTCATTGGACATATCCATTGCTTTTTTTAGAGCTCTAATATTGAATAATAGCCATTTTAATCAACTAACAAGTTTACGTGTTTTTGGCAGTCGTGTCATCACGGCATCACTGCGACACTGGCGGTGGTGATAACGGGCAGCATGATTGTGGGGGAGGGGGCATGGAGTCCCCCCACTAAACATCCACGTGGTCAGGAGCAGTATAAGCTAACTGATGTAATTTCCATGGTAAACAAATTATCATTACTTTTAAACTACTTATGATTTTTAAGATAAATTAAATAGCACTCATACATTTTCAGTATGGCTCGGTGAAAACGCTGTACTGCGTGCTCTGTAGTCCGAGGCAGGGATTTGAGCCGTGTCCTTTCACGTGTTAAAACTCGGCCGCCAGGTGTCCTATCCCTCAGCTACAGCACCTCCACGATGGCTGTGCACTGTGTTCATTATTTAACATCAACAGCATCGCCTCCACCCTCATGCTCCCCACTCCGCCATGGCCGTCGGCAAAATTGTAAAGTGGTGCTGCCCGCCCCCCCCTTCCCCCAGATGATGCCGATGTTGGTGAAGGATGACGGTCGCTCAGCAGCGGCGGGGGGAGTCGGCGTAGCGCAACTTCAGTTCCTGCTTGAAGCGGCGGAAGAGGATGCGGTTGCGTTCTTGCTCGGCCTCCTTGCCAGCGTGGAACTCTCCCGGCAGCTTGAAGCCGCGGTGGACCAGGAAGGCGTTGTCCAGCACGGCGAAGCGGTATCCAGCGACGTGCAGCTCACATGTCTGAGTATGCACGCACGCACGTGCGCACACAAACACACGAGCCAAATACATTTACTTGATTAACAAACCACATTACATATGGAATCAACTTGTCTGCAGGTTTCTCGGTGGATTGAAACACCACAGAATCATGAGATATGGCGATAACATGGGAAGACCTTTGTCCAGGAGTGGATTGCCCACTGCTTATGCGATAATAATTGTGGTAACAAAAACCTCACGTCCCACCGACCTATGCCTCCAAAGGACCAGATCACAGGTGCGCACCAACACGCTCCGCTCGTTTGTTAATTCTAGGTATGACCAAACCAAACCAAGTGAACATTTCACGACAAGGGAAATGATGTTTTAACAACCCTGAGGTGGCTAACATCATCAACACCGCGCGCCGCACCTGGCTGATGCGGTTGAAGCCGTACTGCTGAAAGCGCTCGTCAAACGGCGGCACGGTGCTCAGGCCGATGTAAAACGGCTCCCAAGGGTCGCGCCACTCCAGCTCGTACGCTGGCGCCAGTCCTGGCACGGGAGGCAGCGCCGCCCAGCGTGCATAGTCGGTGGGAGCCTGGCACTTGCGGCACAGCTCGTCGTAGAACGGCCGCAACTCCAGTGCCCCGAGGAGGCGCAGGAGCTCCACCTTGGTGTCTGGCACGCGGCGCGAGTGGCGTATCTCAAATGACGGCACCACGAACACAATCGATCGGTCACGACCACCGCCTCCATCTTCCCGTCGTAGCATGGACAAGAAGTCCCGGTGGAGGTTGACACTGGGCACCATGTCCACGTCCACCACGAGCACGTGCCGGCTGCGGGCACCGGCTCGTGCCACGTTGCGCAGGAGGTTGTTGGGGTAGGGCACGCCGCCGTCAAGCGCGTAGTTCCTGCGTGCGCCCTGCACCGCCTCGCTGCCGAGCCACGCGAACACCTCGGTGCAGCCGGCGCCGACCTTCGGCGCCACCCAGCGGTTCCCTTGTCCAGCATCGGCCCACGCCGCGGACGAGAAGCCCGCGTTGGCCGACGCCACGAGGTGAAAGGCAACGTTGTCGCGCGCCTTCTGCGAGCAACCCCGCACCGCCGCGATGGCAGCGAGCGCCAGCCACGTGTCGTTGGCGCAGGCAAAGACGGCAACCGACACGGGCCCTTCCCATCGCTCCAGCAGCACCTCCAGGTGGTGCAGCCCATTGACGGACGTGTGGGTGGCCAGACTCAGCTCATGCCGCGTGTCGCCGGCGCCGGCCGTTGCCGGTTCCGGCGCGAGGAGCCGGCTGAAGATGGCAAAGCGGCCGCTGGCATCGAGCGTGGGGGCGCCGCCGGCAGCGACCAGCGCCGCCCTCAACGCGTTCGCGGCCCCTTGGGGGTCCCCGGCGAGGCTCCCGTTGGCCACAATCAGCGGTTCAGACGAGCGCCGCACGATAGCGCCGAGGAAAGCGGCCGCCAGCGGCAGGGGCGAAGAGCCGTCGCCGTGGCCGTCCATGCGCAGCAGCAGCACGAGGTAGGTGAGCTGCAGCGCGAGCATGACAACGAGCAGCAGGAAGATGAGGATGTTGAAGGGCGTGCAGCGCAGCCGCGCCCGCAGCTTGAACCGCATGGTCACCGGTGATCCGAGTCGTCGCTCGAGCAGGCTGCGTCAGTGCGTCTGAGCGGAGCACTCGCTCTCATCTGGTGGAATCGGTAGAGACAAAGCAAACTTGTAATCAAATGTCTTGAAGACACAGCGAGGCTTCCCCAGGCACATGAAGAAAATTATTATTATTGGGCAATACAGTAACAATTAAAGCTATAAGCTTGGTTAAGGAGTCGTCGTCATTATTAGGAGTAAATAAAAAATAGTGCAAGAATAAACGCGTGTATCGTGAACATAACAACCATCAATTGACTAAGCGCTGGTAAGAATGATCTCACCCCTAGGGGGCTCTTTGACTTGGCTACACAGTCAACTCTCGATCACACGGGGCGAGGTGACGGCGAGGAAACCGGAGAAAACCCACCACGCATCACAAGAGGGGGTTACACTCAAAGGTCCGCAAAGCCAGGCTCAAAACCTAGTTGCTGTACTGCCACCCCTGTCCATTTTCGCTGCCCAACGGACGTGGTGGGCGTTTCACCAATCTGGACGTATAAAACACAAATGTCAAATACTATTCACAAAAAAAAACTCAACATTTGTCGATAACAGTGGCAGTAAAAACAGTAAAAAGGTGTCAGTTTTGTTGCCAGATAAAAGGGTAAAAAAACAATGATCATATTTTGCTACTGGCAAAGGAGATTCCAATGGTGATAACAGTGGCCTCAAAATAAGCAATTTATAATAGACGACGTTTCGGGTAACGGTCCTTAATAACACAATATCACATTACTGTCTGTAAGGCAATGCATTTCGATTCGGTGGATTGTGACGCTATCACTGCAGCCTTGCACGCAAGCCTTTGGTTCTTAATCGCAAACATGACAACGTTAATGAATACACGGGGTTCACGAAACAGAGTAACTTGGACTCACGTGGTCGTGCCAAATTTGTGTTTTAGTTCATTTACCTTCTAAACAAATCGGGCCACGTCTCGCACCCCCAGAAAGGGCATCTCACACTCCCAGGTTAAGAAGAAGAGCCGCCACTTGCTCGAAGCTTACCCCAAACCAAGGCCCAAATCAAAAACCCTACAAAGCACGGCCACCAGTGTGTGAATCCACTGCTGGATGAGGGCCTCCTGCACCCAGCCCGTGCTGGGGGTTATCTGAACGCACTTCACCTCGTTGTTCCGTGCGGGTTGTTGAAGGGCGGGGTGCATAGACGTGTAAGCACAGTACTCTACAACAATGTGTGTTTAACGTGGCAGCCCTGAAGCCTGTTTGGACGTGCCACGCGTGGGCTCTCACGACGAGACTTGGCGCATCTCTCGTGATGTGGCCACGTCTGCTGTGCACGAGTCCCACGCGGTGATGCGATCGCCACGCACGACGCGTGCGAGACACGCGGACGGAGTTTGGGGTGAACCGAGACGCAAACAGCTGTCACTGGCCGGGCCCCGCGCGCGCGGCAACCACTGCGGGGGTCTGCGGTCAACACCCACTGGAGCAACATTACAAGGGACCGCGGTAAACACCCACTGGAGCAACATTGTAAAGGGACCGCGGTAAACACCCACTGGAGCAACATTGCAAAGGGACCGCGGTAAACACCCACTGGAGCAACATTGTAAAGGGACCGCGGTAAACACCCACTGGAGCAACATTGCAAATGGACCGCGGTAAACACCCACCGGAGCAACATTGCAAAGGGACCGCAGTAAACACCCACTGGAGCAACATTGCAAAGGGACCGCGGTAAACACCCACCGGAGCAACATTGCAAAGGGACCGCGGTAAACACCCACTGGAGCAACATTGTAAAGGGACCGCGGTAAACACCCACTGGAGCAACATTGTAAAGGGACCGCGGTAAACACCCACTGGATCAACATTGCAAAGGGACCGCGGTAAACACCCACTGGAGCAACATTGTAAAGGGACCGCGGTAAACACCCACTGGATCAACATTGTAAGGGACCGCGATAAACACCCACTGGATGAACACTGTAAGGGACCGCGGTAAACATCCCCTGGATAAACACCGACAGGAAAATTGTAAGAGACCGCGGTAAACATAGGATCAACATTACAGTACCGAAGTGTATAAGGAACCACGGCTAACTTGGAGGCTGAACACGCATAGGGACTGTGGTGAACTGACAGAGTCAATAACATACAATCAATACGCGGCCCGTGGCAGTCTGTATACACAGTCTGTATATGTATGCCAGCTGCATTTGTAAACCAATTCACATTCGACTATCTTTACGCGAGAAAATTCCCATGATAAAAAAGACGGTAATGTTTCAAGCAACAGATAAACGTGCACAAAATAACTTCCGCATTTGTTGCGGTATGAAACAACACAGCAACATTTCGATTTAAAGCTTTCGTGACTGCAGGGATTCATATTCTTGGTTCTTTCGGTAAAGTTACGTAGAAGGGAAATAAAAATAAACAATAAAACCCATCAAGTTCCTGAAGAACTGCAGTATGGTCCTCTCTTTTTGACTTAGTGTCACCATCAAAATAAATTTGCGCAAATGTGACCCACTGACGGCAGCAGTGATACAGAGATGGACAATTGTAGACCGTCTTCTTGGTTCGTTCGGTAAAGTCACGTAGAAGGGAAATAATAAAATAATAAAAATAAAACATCAAATACAATTCTCACGACGTTTCGGCCACAACGCAAGCAGCCGTCCTCAGGTGAAGAACAGGTCTGTCGGAAAGACCGCTTTAAATCGAAATTGTAGAACGGTTTCGTTGTTATTGTGGCCACCAATGTTCACTGCTGCGAAGTCTGCCTCTGGGAACCACTCCCAATGTGCAGTCTACACCACAATGTTGGGACGCGCTTAGAAAATAAAAGATTCTTGAATCGTGAGGGCTGAATTGTCACAGCCCTAGGATTAGGCCTCGACAAGGTAAGGTAAAAGTTAAACGGTAAATAAAAACAAGAGAAACTTTACCCTACCTTTTACCTTACAACAATACAATCGCGCTACCCTACCTTTTACCCTTTAGCAGGTAAGGTAAAAGGTAAAAAAAGAACGAGCCACCTTTACCTTACCTTTTACCCTTATCCCATACAAATTTCGCGATTACAGGGTAATTACTGGGGTAAAAAACATGGAAATTTTTTGTTAACGATAAATATCGTTAGAGTGCTTTATTAATTTTTCGATTTAAAGCTTTCGTGACTGCAGCGATTCATCTTCTTGGTTCTTTTGGTAAAGTCACGTAGAATGGAAATTATAAAATTATAAAAATAAAACATAATAAAATAATTCTCACGACGTTTCGGCCACAACGCAAGTACCCGTCCTCAGGTGGAGAACAGGTTTGTCGGGGAGACAGCGTCTGAATGAAACAGCACCACGCTTGGAGCGTATATTTAAGCTGGGTTGGAAGGGGGGGAAAGGGCGCCTTGACAAAATAATTTGCATATCAAGAGGAATTTAGCATATTTATGGGAAATGCAGGTATGTGATTAGTACTACTTATGCCCGTGCATTATGCAGGATTAGTAGCATCAAAGGGAGGGGATATGGGAAATGCAGGTATGTGATTAGTACTACATATGCCCGTGCATTATGCAGGATTAGCAGCATCAAAGGGAGGGGATATGGGAAATGCAGGTGTGTGATTAGTACTACTTATGCCCGTGCATTATGCAGGATTAGCAGCATCAAAGGGAGGGGATATGGGAAATGCAGGTATGTGATTAGTACTACTTATGCCCGTGCATTATGCAGGATTAGTAGCATCAAAGGGAGGGGATATGGGAAATGCAGGTATGTGATTAGTACTACATATGCCCGTGCATTATGCAGGATTAGCAGCATCAAAGGGAGGGGATATGGGAAATGCAGGTGTGTGATTAGTACTACTTATGCCCGTGCATTATGCAGGATTAGCAGCATCAAAGGGAGGGGATAGGGGTAGCATTAATAAAGGGAAGGAGTGTTAATAGTATGTTGCTGCAGTAACTAAAACCACCACGTAAACAACTAAAGTATAAACTACATAGTATCATCAGTATACTAAATATACTCTACAATAAGCTGAGTTACTAACAGTAAGTAATACATTACAATTCTACGTCGTAAAAAATATAATATGCTTCCATCTAAACTTTATTCTCTTACATCACACGAGTCTACACCGTACTATATACTGCCATAGACAAACCCTACATTAAATTACGTACTGTATTGCTATAAACCACCTTACACATTGTAATATTACACTATGTATTATTTTACCCACCCTAATGTATATCACACTGCTGTATATGCTACAGTGTATAATAACAAATAGTATAAAATTTAAATGCTTAATACAATGTACAAAGTAATATATAGTATCGTAATTGTATAGTGAAGGATGTAGAGTGGAGTTTGTCTGGTGCCAGGATGTAGAGTGGAGTTTGTCTGGTGCCAGGATGTAGGTGAGTGTCTGGTGCCAGGATGTAGAGTGGAGTTTGTCTGGTGCCAGGATGTAGAGTGGAGTTTGTCTGGTGCCAGGATGTAGAGTGGAGTTTGTCTGGTGCCAGGATGTAGAGTGGAGTTTGTCTGGTGCCAGGATGTAGAGTGGAGTTTGTCTGGTGCCAGGATGTAGAGTGGAGGTTGTCTGGTGCCAGGATGTAGGGTGGAGTTTGTCTGGTGCCAGGATGTAGAGTGGAGTTTCGTCTGGTGCCAGGATGTAGAGTGGAGTTTGTCTGGTTGCCAGGATGTAGAGTGGAGTTTGTCTGGTGCGAGGATGTAGAGTGGAGTTTGTCTGGTGCCCAGGATGTAGAGTGGAGTTTGTCTGGTGCCAGGATGTAGAGTGGAGTTTGTCTGGTGCCAGGATGTAGAGTGGAGGTTGTCTGGTGCCAGGATGTAGAGTGGAGTTTGTCTGGTGCCAGGATGTAGAGTGGAGTTTGTCTGGTGCCAGGATGTAGAGTGGAGTTTGTCTGGTGCCAGGATGTAGAGTGGAGTTTGTCTGGTGCCAGGATGTAGAGTGGAGTTTGTCTGGTGCCAGGATGTAGAGTGGAGTCTGGTGCCAGGATGTAGAGTGGAGTTTGTCTGGTGCCAGGATGTAGAGTGGAGTTTGTCTGGTGCCAGGATGTAGAGTGGAGTTTGTCTGGTGCCAGGATGTGAGTGGAGTTTGTCTGGTGCCAGGATGTAGAGTGGAGTTTGTCTGGTGCCAGGATGTAGAGTGGAGTTTGTCTGGTGCCAGGATGTAGAGTGGAGTTTGTCTGGTGCCAGGATGTAGAGTGGAGTTTGTCTGGTGCCAGGATGTAGAGTGGAGTTTGTCTGGTGCCAGGATATAGAGTGGAGTTTGTCTGGTGCCAGGATGTAGAGTGGAGTTTGTCTGGTGCCATGATGTTGAGTGGAGTTTGTCTGGTGCCAGGATGTAGAGTGGAGTTTGTCTGGTGCCAGGATGTAGAGTGGAGTTTGTCTGGTGCCAGGATGTTGTGTGGAGTTTGTCTGGTGCCAGGATGTAGAGTGGAGTTTGTCTGGTGCCAGGATGTTGAGTGGAGTTTGTCTGGTGCCAGGATGTAGAGTGGAGTTTGTCTGGTGCCAGGATGTAGAGTGGAGTTTGTCTGGTGCCAGGATGTAGAGTGGAGTTTGTCTGGTGCCAGGATGTAGAGTGGAGTTTGTCTGGTGCCAGGATGTTGTGGGAGTTTGTCTGGTGCCAGGATGTAGAGTGGAGTTTGTCTGGTGCCAGGATGTAGTGTGGAGTTTGTCTGGTGCCAGGATGTAGAGTGGAGTTTGTCTGGTGCCAGGATGTAGAGTGGAGTTTGTCTGGTGCCAGGATGTAGAGTGGAGTTTGTCTGGTGCCAGGATGTAGAGTGGAGTTTGTCTGGTGCCAGGATGTGAGTGGAGTTTGTCTGGTGCCAGGATGTAGAGTGGAGTTTGTCTGGTGCCAGGATGTAGTGGAGTTTGTCTGGTGCCAGGATGTAGAGTGGAGTTTGTCTGGTGCCATGATGTGAGTGGAGTTTGTCTGGTGCCAGGATGTTGTGTGGAGTTGTATGGTGCCAGGATGTAGAGTGGAGTTGTCTGGTGCCAGGATGTAGACGTGGAGTTTTGTCTGGTGCCAGGATGTAGAGTGAGTTTGTCTAGTGCCAGGATGTAGAGTGGAGTTGTCTGGTGCCAGGATGTAGAGTGGAGTTTGTCTGGTGCCAGGATGTAGAGTGGAGTTTGTCTAGTGCCAGGATGTAGAGTGGCAGTTTGTCTGGTGCCAGGATGTAGAGTGGAGTTTTTCTGATGCCAGGATGTAGAGTGGAGTTTTCTGTGTGCCAGGATGTAGAGTGGAGTTTGTCTGGTGCCAGGATGTGTGTGGAGTTTTCAAGTGCCAGGATGTAGAGTGGAGATTTGTCTGGTGCCAGGATGTAGAGTGGAGTTGTCTGGTGCCAGGATGTAGAGTGGAGTTTGTCTGGTGCCAGGATGTAGAGTGGAGTTTGTCTGGTGCCAGGATGTAGAGTGGAGTTGTCTGGTGCC